CTCGTCTTTGTATGCCGCTTATCTCGATATTTTCCTGCAACGAAACCAACATAGACAGTTCTCAACCAAGTTGTGAAAGTGTGATGATTTCAATTCATCTATTGTGAATACTCCATTTTTAATGCCTTCATTCCTGCATCCCAATCTTATGTCGCAGCTGATTCGAAATTCAAGGGCATGTTCCCAGTCGATGAAGTAGAGTGCGCTTTCTCTTCCGGATTCGTATTCTTAGTTTTATTTTTCAGGAATTTCTATGTGAATCTTTCATTTGTTCATTTTTTGCTCCTTTGCTGTTTTTTGTTAATGTACGAACAACATACTCATTGTTTACCAATCTGCATGTTGTCACATTAGAAATTAGGTAGACAAAAATAATGACGTGTTAATTAAATTTCGGTTTTTAAGTTTAAATCGAACAAAATAAAGGGTAATCTGTGGCAAGGTTGCCATGATGTTACAACAGTAAGGACATATTAAGACGGTGTCCGTGGATGATGGGTCCAGCGACATGATGCTGACATGGGACAAGTCATTACCGGTAAAAAAACCCCACTAAAACCGGAAGTGATGTTTAGTCTCGTGATGTATAGGGGAAGATAAAATAACTTAATCCGAAAATCAGGTTTTAGTAACATATCAATAATCGTTGATGAATATCAGAATCAGTAATGTAAACTGATATAGTGTGACAAGCGCTGGCTTTTACCATAAAAACAGACACACCTAAAGGAAACGTAACAATTTATAACAGCCATGATGAACCTATCTGTTAATTTTTCGAGTGTGTGCTTTCCTGGTGTGGGCGTTCACCCGGCATTTTTCGTAGTGACTGGAGTCATAACCATGTGTCTCAATTTAAGTGTTTTTGTCGGAATGTGCCTATCAAAGTCGATCACCGAACAAATAAGAATGCCATTACTGAACTTGTGTGTCGGCGATTTCTTGATCGGTGTCGCTTTGTCTGTAGTTTTAATCATTGATTTCAGCCGTCAGCGTTGTTTTGCTCTTCAATTTCTGTTGTTCTTCTCCATAACTTTATCATCTACAGTGATATTTTTTCTGTCTATAGACAGATGCATATGCCTATACTTTGAGACATCCTACCTCATGTATGTAACGAAAAAACGGGTGCGAACGATATATTTAATTGGATGGATCTTCATAACCGTTTCGACCTTTATGCGCGTGAGTCCACGCGAAATCAATATTGCACCTTCCCAAACCATAACGTCACGCGTAGAAATAACACTTGTATGTTGTTTCATGTTGGTGCGTTTACTCACTCTGCTGTTTTCTCTTGGAACCTTACTCAAGATATGTGCTATTCGCAACAGAATTCCCTCAGTGAAAGGAGAGTTCGTTAACACGTTCAAACTTTTACTCATTGCATGCTTGTACCAGGCCATGCTTTTTCCTATTGAAGTGCATCGTTTAATCTGGGTTACCAGACCAGTTGAAGTGGATTCGTTGAACATTTTCAGACAAATTTCTGTAGTAATAATGTCGTGTACAGGTATTGTAAACCCTTTGTTGTACACGTTACGGTTCACTGAGTGTCGACTTTCTCTCTTGGTTGTCGTTTGTTGGTGGAATAAAACATTGTCACGACGAATTAAGTACAAAAAGAAACAGCTTATTGCTCCATTCCTCGATACAACTGACAGAAGTTCGCGGCAGAATCGTCGCGTAGAGGGTTTCCTACCATCTGATGTAGTATTAGAATCTACGCCAGCCGTCCACGAGCCGCCATCAAGACCGGAAACAGCCGAGCAGACGGTGTCTGTCATCAACGTACGTACCATCTGTAGTCACGAGCTCACCAGCACCCAAACTGATACCAGTCTACCTTGCCAATGAATAAATCGTTTCGGGAGGCGTGCATTTTTTTTATGCGTGGTACATTTAATTTTTGAGAGATTTTGCAATGTGAACTTACTATGTAACATTTTATAACATTTCACCGTAACTAATATTAGGATTTTTGTAGAACTGATTCCTTAGAACAATGGACATGGCTGCGTAAATGTGTTTCTCAATTCGAAGGGTTTTTTCCCATACACTTTATTTTTTTCTCGATAAGGTCATGTGATTAATCAGACTTTTACAAAATTTCTATACCTTCTGATCAGAGGCATTGTTTTTTGTTTTTGTTTTTGTTTTTGTGACAAAGCTTATCCCTGCGACATTGAAAATGGGCCAAAGTCATATACATGTACATGTATTGTCAAAACTTTGTTGGGCTTCCATCCGAGAAACTATCAGTGAAACATAGTTCTTGACATCTTGGTTATAGAAAAATAAACTTTGAAGAAATATTTTGACGACATACAGACTACGGACGCTGCTCCATACAGCATAGCATTTAGCCCGTGAATAAACAACTTGCAAACTGAGATTAACCCTTCTGATCTTTAATATTATTTAACACGTATGATTACATGACACGATAAACAGTGAGGATTAATGCTCTCCATAAACACCATAATCAATATATAGCCCTGTAAAATTATCCGATATACCAAGCAGAGTTTAATGTGCTAATGTTATGTGATATCTATGAGGATTATCGGTACCGTTAAACGTATATACATATACTTGGATGTTCCCTCTGTACCTCCGTATTACACAGCAGTAGGTATGTTGAGACCGTTAAAATCGATATATTTTGAGCGTCAAATTTGCTTTAAAAATTAAACATCATTGTATTTCCTTCTATAAATGTCTTTTTAAAATTTTGTAAGATTGTTACGGTATTTTTTTCTAATTCATTATTTGTGCCTGCTAAAATGGTCGTTAGTCAGACGGGAAAAGATAGAAAATTTATTAGAAAGAGTAAAAATGAAGTGATAGTAGAGAGGTTTGGAGATGGATGGAGTAGTAATACCTCATTGTGTTATTATATATGTTTAACGTTACTTTACTAGAGTTTCCTGTATTTTGGGACATTTCCCTTTGTGCTAAGATCCAGAATAGCGTTGTAATTTTGATGTAATTTATCTGTATGTTCTAACATCTTGTGAAGCGTGTTATTTATCATATTTGTTCTTAATTTTCATCTATTTTAAAACTCACTTTGATCATACCAAAATACATACTTCGAACATGTGTTTTGTTACATACAAACAAAATAATTTATGATATATGTATATATCTATATATAGATAGATATATATATATATATATACATATATCAATGTGCTTCTTGTTGTAATGTATATCTATATTAAATAAAGAATTAAATACTATTAATTTCTTTATGTCATTTTTCCCGGTTTAAGATGACCGGAAATAGTTCAATGTTGATATTTCAGAGTGATGACACTAAAAAATTGTATCGAATTACCAAATCGTCTGCGAAATAGGACTTCGGCTGCTGTGAGGATGTAAAAATGTCAGAATCATGTGATAAAAATGCGTCAACATAGGCTGTAAATATACATCAATACACGTGTTGATATCTGACGTCGTAGATGACGTGAGTTTATCACGTGATCGCATTCTTGACTGTATTCTCTTTCGGAAGAAAATGAAAACATTATATGATACTTTGCACTAAGCATTTCCGAAGTTTTTAGACCAACAGGAGTACAAGTTTTATGGCAATATCTTTTGGGCTTCCTGACCTATCATCAGCAGCTTAAACACCAAATCCATTGCGGACGCGATACAATGCCAATGTGCCATGTAACAACGGGCTTACCAGTGTATCATTGTTTATTGCCGAGTGTCAAATGGGCTACTTTGTTCAGGATATGATAATCGTTAATCCACGTCAAAGTATCATATTGGTTTCAACTTCATTGGTTGCTATGATACGCGACGCAGAGTGAAGAGAGAGAGAGAGAGAGAGAGAGAGAGAGAGAGAGAGAGAGAGAGAGAGAGAGAGAGATTTGAGCATTTAGTCATCTGAAACTTTGAGATGTTTAAAGAGAATAAAATGTTTGCCAAATTTGGTTTTGTCTGACAATTCATGGACGTCATTGTATACTCTTTTAAGACGTGGTCTTATCCAGTTAATTCTGTAAAGTCCCCCGACAGGAAGTATATGTGATAGAAATGGTTGACTAGTATCTAAATATCAAATGTAAAATATAAACGTTTGACGTAAATAATAGAAAGTAGGAATCACTGTTTTGACACGTCTGTTTATAATGTGACAGAAATGGTAGGCTGGAACGCATCATATTCCTGAATTAAAGTATAACATTATAACAAGTAGAATTAATTGTACTAGATTTTTACAGTTTTGTCAATGTATTGGTGCCTCTAACATTTGAACTAATATGTGGTTCGAAAGTCTACAAATGTGACCGTCAGTACGTACTATGTTGGAAGCCTTATTGTAATAATTTGCTTATGGTAATTAACACAAAATTTGCTGCAAAAAATGTCTTAATAAGCTTATAATTGCGATTAACAATTAATACAATAAGTGTAGCACAATGCCAAATACATGCACAGCGTAGACGGGACAAGGAAACCAATTGTTAAAAAAAAACAATATGAATTATGAACCAGTGGCGTAGCAAAACATTTTTAAGAGTGTATATTTTCTTTTTAAAAAAGTAGGGCAAATATATCTCAATGGAATTCGAGTGTATGTTTAAGCATACAAAGCATACATTATTGCTACGCCTCTGTGAACTATCGTGATATTTTCTTTTTAATGTAAGGACTGTTTGCCCGAAATTTTAGCTATTGTATCAGAGGGGATTCGGTGCCAAATTGCAAAGCGTTTGTCCCACGCAAAAGATATTTGTACATGAAAGCAGATATACCCGGCGTGTTTAATGCTGAGCATATGAAAAACTCTTCTTAAAACTGAAGAAATTCTGAGTCAGATTTGTGTGCGGACTCTTTATTCTGATAATGGTGTAGTGATGTAAAAATCCGAGACGTTTAAGTGTTAGTTCCGAATGTCATTTCACCCTTGAACTCTGGGTCATGAACCCTTATTTCCCGCGCTTTACGATCACGTTGTTTGGGAGGACACAATAAACAGGATGGCAGTGAGTATAATATTTTCTCAGAAAAACATGGATCTGTCGTGCATGTGTTTCATTTTTGATTTGAGCTTATTGTTTGATATGCACTGATATCTATGGGAAAATGTTTTATTTATTGAAATAGATCTAAATTAGAAAATAGTCCGATGTTTGTTGGGCCACGCCATTTTGCTACACTCCCGACATTTTCATTGTATCGTTCAAAATATAATGGTTTATGCTGTCCAACAATGTCACGATTGGACACTTTGCAATGATAATACACACGTAAAAGATGAGCTGGAGACTTTTTATGTAATTAAATTGATGTAAGTCACCAATGTTTTTCCATTTGAAATTTTTAGACAAAACACGCATGAAAAAAAAATGTATCTCAAATCTATGATTCTAGTGGGGTTTTTGTATACGATTTCTACGGGGTATTGGCCAAAATAAACCACAATAAGCTCCAGACAAATGTAAACTGATGCATAAATAAAATATTTGTTTCCCAGGAAGAAACATCTTCAGACCCATTTTCCACTGCTACCAGCCCCTCCAGACCCTCATCGAGAGGCAGGGGAGGGAGGAGAATTGACCCAATCACATCAAGTCCAGGTCGTGATCTTCCTCCGTTCGAGGATGAGTCCGAACTCCTGGGAGATCCAGCTGGAGAGGAAGAAGAACAAGATGGAGAGGAACTCTTTGGTGATCAACTTGAACAGTCAGTATAATATACATGCTTTAAAATTAATTTGAAATGCTTATGGGTTGGTATTTGTTCTTTTAGCACACTTAGCCATGTCAGAACTAGCAAGAGAAGTTTATCATTTTGATTGTTCATATAAAAAGGTTAAGCTCTGAATAAATAGATCATTTCACGAACAAATAACCATTGATACTTAAAAGAGATTTAGCCCAGATTTGATGACATTATCAGCCAGATTAAATGAATCACAAATCATGGTGATTGCTTCTAAATGATGGTAAAATTTTAAATCAAAGCAATACAGGTTGATGGTGGTTTGTTTGCAGAGACTATCGAGCGATACCAGCACTGGATGTGTATGATCAGGATGGCATGGACGATGAAGGAGACTTTTCAGATTTGTCCGAAACAGCCAGGCATGCTGCGGAACGAGAGATGCGTCAGAGGGAGCGAGAGGAAGGAATTCTTACAGGTCGCATGAGGAGAGGTTTAATGTATGGTAAGGGAATCAAATATGGATCTCATTCTTAACTCTTAAAGATTGTTCAATTTTGGCATAATTACTGATTAATTAAAATGTAAGACATAATAGATGTTTTAGAGTAGACTCCTTTTTTCAAAGTTTTGAATAAAGTCTGGTAAAATTTCAAATTTACAGAAGAGTCTGATGAGGAGGATGAAGCAGCTCCTCGAAAGAGACGAAGAGCTGAGCGAGCTGCAGAAGGGGAAATGGAGGACGATGAGGTAATGATAAATATTATAGTACCAGAGGTTTTGGCCATTGATCGGCCACATTTAAAAGCTGCTTGCTATCTACTATTTTGGAAACTGTTTTGGCCATTCTTTTCAAACATATCTCATAATATATCCACTTTAGAAAACTTACCATAGATTAATTCTATTTTATATTATAACAAAATCTGTTATTGAATTGTGGATAAATACATTTCACTTCCAATGCTCATCAGTTTTGATTATCGAATACATTTCTATTCCTACTTCGTTTTTTCTGCAGATGATTGAAAGTATTGAGAACCTTGAAGACATGAAAGGACACACCGTCAGAGAATGGGTATCTATGTTAGGACCCAAGACAGAAATCAAAAACCGATTTAAGAACTTTCTGCGGACGTTTGTCGACTCAAAGGGGCATAATGTGTACAGAGAAAAAATACGACAAATGGTTGAAGGTATATCCATATAACATTTATCTTTTAATCCTTAAGACACAAGTGACAATGTTCTTTTCAGTGTCTTATTATAGCACAATTTGCAAACTTTTTATTCTTGAGTGAAGTTTAGCTATGATAAGTGTATGATTTTATAAAGAGACAACTAGCCTCTTTGGTAGACTTGTTGAAATCCTGCTGACACGGCTCATATTATTTATATCCAACATTTACTTTATCTTTAATATCAATATGGAATTGTGCATTACTTTCTTTTAAGATTGTTTACCCTTCATGCTATTCAGAAATGACTATTTTTGATTGACTTTGGGATGAAGTTTTGTTAAAAATTATTTGCTGTACTTGGAAAAGGAGCCAATTTGTAATTCAATCATCACCTTTCGTGACTTTTTTTGTGTTAAAAATTATTCGTTGCACTAGGTTAAAAGGAGCCAATTTATAATTTTATAAATCACTTTTCAATTGTTTTAATGTTTAATGGAGGTTTTGTTATCTTTTTAGCCAACAGAGAAAGTCTCATCATTGACTATAACATGTTAGCTTCGGTAGAACAAGTGTTGGCCTATTTCTTGCCAGAGGCACCAACAGAAATGTTACAGAACTTTGACGAGGTAAGATCGATGACTAAAATCATATCCCTTTTACATTGACACTGGTTACACAATCTACCGTGTTACAATATTACATAATGTTATCACGAGTTTTGCTTTATTGAAATAGATTTCTGTTTTAATGGTATATAACAAAAGTGTTAAGATTTATTTATTATCAAAACATTTTAAATGGTTTATTAGAGTGTATTTGGAGAAAAATTGTACTTGAATTAATTTTGTTCTGAAACTACTGTACTAATATTTGCTTCTGTTTGATTTGTAAAATGGATTGTTTCAGGCTGCAAAGGAAGTGGTGTTAAGCATGTACCCCAATTATGAGAAGATCGTCAAAGAGATCCATGTACGGATTGGGGAGTTGCCTTTGATAGAAGAACTTCGTTCTTTACGTCAACTTCATTTGAACCAGCTGATCAGAACTAGTGGTGTTGTGACAAGCTCTACTGGTGTGCTTCCTCAGCTGAGTGTCATCAAATATGATTGTAACAAATGTAACTTTATCCTTGGTCCATTTTACCAGTCTCAAAACAATGAGGTGAAACCAGGATCGTGTCCGGAGTGTCAGTCCACAGGACCGTTTGAAATCAATATGGAACAGGTAAGTTTGTTTGGTTTGATTGTTGTCGAGATTTTATTGTTGTTGTCAAATTCAGATACCAAGTGTCCATGAATATTGCTTCTATTATGACCAGTCCTGAATACTTTGTACCTGAATTAGAAATCTTCTGTCCTATCAATCAGCACTAACATGCTTGTTTCATATCCCTTCTTTTGGAATGATTTTAAGGCTATCAGTTATAAGTGAAGATTGACTGATAAATAATGCAATAAACGTAATTGATGAAAAATGTTGAGAAAACAAATAAAAGTTACAAAATGACTCTTTTGAAATCTTAATTTTCTTTGAAAAAGTGTTTGGATACACATAGTTCAACCTGAATATCTAATCTATGCTTATCTTGTGTTGAATGGTAATTCTTAACTCCAGGATCATACTGTGATGTTCAAATTATTGATACAAGTTTGTTGTGTTTGTACGACATCAGTATTCCTTACAAATGTCTTTGTCTTTCAGACCATTTACAAAAATTATCAGAGAATCACATTACAAGAAAGTCCAGGGAAGGTTCCTGCAGGACGATTACCACGGTCTAAGGATGCCATTTTACTTGACGATCAAGTAGACATGTGTAAACCTGGCGATGAAATAGTATGTCAAGTTTCTTCTTTCTTTACTCCAATGTAAAAAGAAAGTTTAAAGTATATAAAGAAGGTTAATGTCATTAGCTTAAATTGTGGGAGTACGAAGTACATTTAGAAAGTTTTGAATAGGCTATAAAACTTCGTAGCATTTCAATTATGTCTTAAGAATAATTATCTGTTGTAACATATATTTTGTTATCATTGAAAGATATTTCTGTTGAAATATTGTATAAATATTTGCTTAACAGAAACTTAAGAAGATATGTGTATTTATGTATTTTTTGAATTATGATTTTTATATTATTCCATGTACAATCAACATCGATACTCATTGTTGCAGGAACTGACAGGTATCTATCACAATAATTATGATGGGTCTCTCAACATTGCCAACGGTTTCCCAGTATTTGCCACAGTTATTCAAGCCAACCACATCACAAAGAAAGATGACAAAATGGCTGCAAGCTGCTTGACAGATGAAGACATCAAAGCCATCATTCAGTTATCTAAAGATGAAAGAATTGGAGAACGGGTACGTATTTCAAATCTTGGAAAAATTTGGTTCCAATGTCATTCACAATTGGGATTTAGGATGTTTTAATATTTATGGGGTTTTTCATGTGATTTCAAAAGTAAAGTCTCTCTCAGATGAATGATAATTATGGCAATGGAATTGATTGAATATAACAGTCAGATGGTTTATCACAACAGTTTAAAACGCTTCATGTGAAGGTGAAAATAGATTTTCATTACATATTTTCACAAATATTTGTTTTTAGATCTTTGCAAGTATGGCGCCATCCATATATGGTCATGAAGATATTAAGCGTGCACTGGCTCTTTCTATATTTGGTGGAGAACCTAAAAACCCTGGTGGTAAACATAAAGTGCGAGGTGACATTAATGTTTTATGCTGTGGAGACCCTGGCACAGCCAAATCCCAGTTTCTGAAATATGTGGAGAAGACGGCACCACGGGTAGTGTTTACAACTGGTCAAGGTGCCTCAGCTGTCGGTTTGACAGCTTATGTCCAGAGAAACCCAATTTCCAAAGAATGGACTTTAGAGGCAGGAGCTCTAGTGCTGGCAGACAAAGGAATATGTGTGATTGATGAGTTTGATAAGGTAAAACATTTAAAGAACGACTGATGTAGTATACTAAGATCTGTTCCAGAAAGTTTATTGCACAAATTAATAACTTAGGAAGTTTTTTCAATAGCAGAGGATTTAAAGCAAACTGTAATGTTAGTATGGCTGTGTTTTCTTCTATTGCACTTGTTGTATGGGATGTTCTCTAGCTCTTTGGTCTGAAGTTTTCATTCAATCAAGGATTCATAAATTTTGCTGGAAGGGTCATTGTTCATTAAAAACAAGGTGTAATATAAGGTGTAGAAAATATGAAAAGTAACCTCCTGACTGATAGGAGAAATGTTGAAAAACTTAGAAATTTAAAGCTCTTTTTAATTGGTACCTTGTAATGTGTGACAACTTTTAATTGATTTTCTTCCCTATTAGATGAATGATGCTGATAGAACAAGTATACATGAAGCCATGGAACAGCAGACCATCTCCATTTCCAAGGCTGGTATAGTAACCTCCCTTCAGGCCAGGTGTGCTGTGATAGCAGCAGCCAACCCTATTGGTGGTCGATATGACCCTTCACTCACATTTTCGGAGAATGTTGATCTGACAGAACCAATTGTGTCCCGATTTGATATTTTGTGTGTGGTGAGGGATACTGTGGATCCGATCCAAGATGAGAGACTTGCCAGGTTTGTTACCGGTAGCCACATGAAACACCACCCAGATGCTGGCGAGACACAGGCAGATGAAAATCTGGTAAGTGTAAAATAGTATTTACAGATGAAAGATAAACTCCCTCATATAAATACTCTTCTGTTTAGCTCGCTATAATTTCTTTTGAAAGCTGTTCAGTAATGAACTGGACCAAATAATTTCTTGACTGAGAAAGAAAATATGTCTTAAATGCTATAATGTATTTTTGTACAGAACATGCTGAACACAAGTTCCTCTGTGGAGCCAATTCCTCAGGAACTGCTTAGGAAATATATAACCTACTGCAAGGAGAAGGTTCATCCCAAACTTCACCAGATGGACCAAGATAAAATAGCCAAGATGTATGCAGAACTCAGAAGGGAGTCCATGGTAAGTCAGGAAAAAATAAGTTTCATTTAGCAATTTAAAAGTTTGCTTTTTTTTCAGCTCGCAGATTGAACAAGAGCATAGTTTTTAAGGGGAGAATGTCCATTGACTTTCCAGTTTGATATAAACGTTTGGGTGACTTGACTAAGTTTATATGGTTACAGTGGTTGTTTAAGGAATGGATTTGAGGCTTCTGAAAAACAATCATAGTGACAGATTTGATTTTCAAAAATTTGTCCAAGAAAGCAAAATGTTATCTTATACTGTCCTCATGTATACGACAGTCCTTCATCTTGAGTCCATGTTATCTGTTGCTGTCCACATGTATACAACAGTCCTTCACCTTGAGTCCATGTTATCTGTTGCTGTCCACATGTATACAACAGTCCTTCACCTTGGGTCCATGTTATCTTATACTGTCCACATGTATACGACAGTCCTTCACCTTGAGTCCATGTTATCTGTTGCTGTCCACATGTATACAACAGTCCTTCACCTTGAGTCCATGTTATCTTTTACTGTCCACATGTATACAACAGTCCTTCGCCTTGAGTCCATGTTATCTATTGCTGTCCACATGTATACAACAGTCCTTCACCTTGAGTCCATGTTGTATTTTACAGTCTACGGGAAGTATTCCCATCACAGTTCGTCACATAGAGTCCATGATCAGAATGGCTGAGGGTCATGCCAAAATGCATCTCCGAGATTATGTCAACGAAGATGATGTAAACATGGCAATCCGAATCATGTTGGAGAGTTTCATCAGTACCCAGAAATTCAGCATCACCAGGACCATGAGGAAGGTATGAAATGTCATTTATTGATCGTGATCAGTTAACATCACTGACCCCAATTTGTGTCCTGATGAAGCCCAAGTAGGGCGAAACCGATAGACAATAAAATCTATGAATCCGACCTCTCCTGCCTGTTGTGATTGATCACCACTACCCTTTGACCCCAATTTTCTTACAGACTTATTGGTTGAAGGTCATGTCACATTGTCTCGTGTGAAATGGTTTATCTAGAAGAAATGTATGTTGTCAGAAGTTGATACTATTGATGTTTTAGATGTTGAGTGACTTGTATACTGTTTGTATTTCTGAGTAATGATAATTGTCACAGAAGTTAGTTGCTTCAAAGAGTAATGTATCTTATTGTAATCATCTAGTAACTATTTTGTGTAAGACAATCTGTAACTATCCAAAGTAACACTATTTATTTGCAGATGTTCATTCATTACAATGAGTGAACTTTATCTCAGTTGTTATTTTGAGTAAATCTAACACTGCATAACGATATTGTTTTCAACTTTCAGTCACTAACTTGAGTAACACTATTTTTATTTTGTTGCAGACATTCAGTCGCTACCTTGCCTTCAGAAAGGACAACAATGAGCTCCTTCTCTTCATTCTCACTCAGCTGGCTGCTGACCAGATGTCATTTAACAGGAATAGGTTTGGTATGGAGCAAGAGTCAATTGAAATCTCAGAGAAAGATCTTCAGGATAAGGTTAGTATACCAGCTATTACTATTAAAGCCATACTCCTCAGTAATCACTCAAATTACTAGTTCAGTTAATGTCATCAACCCACGGAAATCATTGAAAACAGATTCTTTTGACTGGCAAAAGTTTTCTAAAATTATTGATAATAAACCTGTTTTGACTAAAATTCAATGCAAGTACTTCAAAAGGTGTGATCATGAAGAAGAGAAATTTGTACGAGACATACATTAATCGCCAAATTTGCTATCGTTTTCCAGGCTCGACAGATTAACATCAGCAACCTGGCATCCTTTTATGACAGTGACATCTTCAAATCGAACCGATTCTCTCGTGACTCCAAGAGGAAAGTGATCATTCAAAGTGTGTGAAATGATGAAAGAATTATGACCTTGTTAATAAAGAACAAATAATTTAATGTGCTCCTACTGGACAGCCTTCCTCTCCAGACTGTTCAGTACAGACTGAATAATTCTGAAATCGAAATTAGGTCTGAATTTAGGATAAGCTGACTCGATAAAGGTCTCACCAAGGAATTGTGCTAAAATACAAACACAAAATGGACCATACTATATTCCTGATACTGAGCTTTCTCTGCATTAGAATGCAGTATTGGAAATTGGAAAAATCTGAGTATTCCTGCACATCTAAATTTAGGATGCCCTGGGTACAGGTTTAGTTTGTTTACATTGTGCTTATAACAAATATGAAGTATCCATTCTGTCCATGGACCTTGGTATGTTCCTGAAACTGAACACACAACCAATTTAAGTTCTGGTAAAAAGTTAAAAAGATTGTTCAGGATTTCAAATACTTGTACATTACAGAAATGTACATCAAACTGTGATTGTGTAAATAATTTATACATTGATGATATTTTTGTTGTATATCTTTATCATAATGTTATTCGGCATGTGCTATTTGATCCTAAATTGTCATCAATCAAGTATGTAAAAAAGAATTTTGAATTGACATGTACATTTAATATTTTTATGTTAAATATCTTTGTCTGAAGGATAGAATAAGGGATTTATTTACTATTCACTATCAACTTAGAAATATCTCCTTTGAAATAAATTGCAGACATACAAATTGGTAAAATTCTTTTGTTTTATTCTTTCCTGGCCTAGAAAATCCTTGTCAGCTCTAGAGCAGTGTCATTCCTTAAGGGAATTCTATCAAACTTCATATTCCTTTAAAGGATTATAATATTGTGGACAAGTCTGAGTTTAAAGGGTTGTAAGGTCAAGGTCAATGTTGCGAAGTGGATTTAATCCTTGAAAATTTTTATCAAACTTCGGGAAGAGGAAAATGATCAGAACTAAGAATAGGAAAGCGAGAAGAGAAAAATTGAAGTACAGAAAGCTGGCATGTCGGGTAGTTCCTACATCCAAACATAGAAATGGTTCTTTAAATGTAAATAGTATACATCAACATGCTAGCATTGCCGAGCAGTACAGCCTAAAATAAAAGCAATTTCTCTTGGAGAAATTTCTGATATACAGAAGATTGACAATTATCACCATTTCTTTATATTTTAGTTGTATTTAAGAGTTCTAACTTTGCAATAATGTTTGTATGTAGTGGAAAAACAAAATCCAGTATTTAATTGTTGGGTTAAGTTTCAGTCTTTCAGATAGAGAATTGAAATATATCGGGCAAGAAATAATTTACTAACCTCAGCGATTGTCGGCCTGAAAATTCTCAAATTTTAGCATGTTATTAAAGTCTCTGAGTCCACTACAATTCCCTCTTGCCATTGGACGTAAACAAACAAAAAGATTGGAATTTGAGTTAAGTACTTCTTTGGACAATATGGATGAAAAAGGCTGATAAGAGAAGACAACGCTATCTGATTGAAAATAAACAGACTGACTAGAAGCATATAACACATTACTTTATTCATTATTAAAATTTTGTACACTTTTGCATCATATGATTAAAATTACAAAGTTGCAAATTTAACATACAGTATAGGCATGTACCTCATAAAAAAAAGCATTCACCCATCTTCACTAACGATAGATTTTGACAGAATTGAAAATGTTTGAAGACCTATGTAAATTAATGGCAAAAAATTCTTAACAGTTTCAGTTTAACAAGAGGCCCAACAGGCCTGCAGCACTTACCTGGTATATATATATACCAGCCAAATATCATGCTTCTAGGCCTGTTAAAGGATGTGGCCTTGAATATAATTCAAGGTAATTTTTGTTGGCAAACTTTGTCGCGCTTCATCCTAGGAACATACCAGCCAAATATTCCTCTAGGCAGATGTTAAAAAGTTTTTAGCAAATCTGTTGACCTCTGTGACCTTAAACATAGGTCAAGGTCATTTTCATTGCAAATTTTTTAAGCTTCATCCAAGGAACATACCAGCTAAATATTCCTCTAGGCAGATGTTAAAAAGTTTTTAGCAAATCTGTTGACCTCTGTGACCTTAAACACAGGTCAAGGTCATTTTCATTGCAAATTTTTTAAGCTTCATCCAAGGAACATACCAGCTAAATATTCCTCTAGGCAGATGTTAAAAAGTTTTTAGCAAATCTGTTGACCTCTGTTACCTTAAACACAGGTCAAGGTCATTTTCATTGCAAATTTTTTAAGCTTCATCCAAGGAACATACCAGCTAAATATCGTGCCTCTAGGCCTTTTAGTTCATGAGAAGTTGTTTAAAGATTTTAACAAATTTGTCCAAAATCTTAACACATGATTCTTGAGATACAAACAAATGAATTAAAACACATAACATGCAAAGAGCTATAACTTTGTATTTTAACTACAGGCCATTAAGCTGTTTTGGCCAAGTAAAGATTTGCAAGTCAAATTTTGTAGTCAATATAAAGTTGGAAATAAATTAAGTAAGTGTGCCTTCTGAGTTAAGCTTGCAAACAAAAGGATAGACATATCTGCTCCAGTTCCAAATTATAATATCTGTATAAGTATGAGTAATACTCCATATCTGTATAAATATGTCAGTAATGATCATTCTCAGTATAAATATATCGAAAAAATTATCATTATCAGTATAAATTGACTGGAAAATGATCTATATCAGTATAAACTGACTGGAAAATGATCATTATCAGTATGAACTGACTGGAAAATGGTCATTATCAGTATAAATTGACTGGAAAATGATCATTATCAGTATAAACTGACTGGAAAATGATCATTATCAGTATACATTTACTGGAAAATGATCATTATCAGTATGAACTGACTGGAAAATGATTATCATATATCAGTATAAATTGACTGGAAAATGATCATTATCAGTATAAATTGACTGGAAAATGGTCATTATCAGTATAAATTGACTGGAAAATGATCATTATCAGTATAAACTGACTGGAAAATGATCATTATCAGTATACATTTACTGGAAAATGATCATTATCAGTTTAAATTGACTGGAAAATGGTCATTATCAGTATAAATTGACTGGAAAATGGTCATTATCAGTATAAATTGACTGGAAAATGATCATTATCAGTATAAACTGACTGGAAAATGATCATTATCAGTATACATTTACTGGAAAATGATCATTATCAGTATAAATTGAGTGGAAAATGATCATTATCAGTATAAACTGACTGGAAAATGATCATTATCAGTATAAACTGACTGGAAAATGATCATTATCAGTATAAATTGAGTGGAAAATGATCAAATTATCAAAATGATCATTATCAGTATAAAATGACTGGAAAATGATCATTATCAGTTTAAATTGACTGGAAAATGGTCATTATCAGTATAAATTGAGTGGAAAATGGTCATTATCAGTATAAATTGACTGGAAAATGGTCATTATCAGTATAAATTGACTGGAAAATGATCATTATCAGTATAAACTGACTGGAAAATGATCATTATCAGTATAAATCAGTATAAATTGACTGGAAAATGATCATTATCAGTATAAACTGACTGGAAAATGATCATTATCAGTATAAATTGACAGGAAAATGATCATTATCAGTATAAATTGACTGGAAAATGATCATTATCAGTATAAACTGACTGGAAAATGATCATTATCAGTATAAATTGACTGGAAAATGATCATTATCAGTATAAATTGAAAATGATCATTATCTGGAAAATGATCATTATCAGTATAAATTGACTGGAAAATGATCATTATCATATAAATTGACTCATTATCAGTATAAATTGACATTATCAGTATAAATTGGGAAAATGATCATTATCAGTATAAATTGACTGGAAAATGATCATTATCAGTATAAATTGACTGGAAAATGATCATTATCAGTATAAATTGACTGGAAAATGATCATTATCAGTATAAATTGACTGGAAAATGATCATTATCAGTATAAATTGACTGGAAAATGATCATTATCAGTATAAATTGACTGGAAAATGATCATTATCAGTATAAATTGACTGGAAAATGATCATTATCAGTATAAATTGACTGGAAAATGATCATTATCAGTATAAATTGACTGGAAAATGATCATTATCAGTATAAATTGACTGGAAAATGATCATTATCAGTATAAATTGACTGGAAAATGATCATTATCAGTATAAATTGACTGGAAAATGATCATTATCAGTATAACTGGAAAATGATCATTATCAGTATAAATTGACTGGAAAAATGATCATTATCAGTATAAATTGACTGACTGGAAAATGATCATTATCAGTATAAATTGACTGGAAAATGATCATTATCAGTATAAATTGACATTTACTGGAAAATGATCATTATCAGTATAAAAATGATCATTATCAGTGACAGAAAATGATCATTATCAGTATAAATTGACAGGAAAATGATCATTATCAGTATAAATTGACAGGAAAATGATCATTATCAGTATAAATTGACAGGAAAATGATCATTATCAGTATAAATTGACTGGAAAATGATCATTATCAGTATAAATTGACAGGAAAATGATCATTATCAGTATAAATTGACTGGAAAATGATCATTATCAGTATAAATTGAGTGGAAAATGATCATTATCAGTATAAATTGACAGGAAAATGATCATTATCAGTATAAATTGACTGGAAAATGATCATTATCAGTATGAACTGACTGGAAAATGATCTATATCAGTATAAACTGACTGGAAAATGATCATTATCAGTATAAACTGACTGGAAAATGATCATTATCAGTATAAATTTACTGGAAAATGATCATTATCAGTATAAATTGACTGGAAAATGATCATTATCAGTATAAATTTACTGGAAAATGATCATTATCAGTATAAATTGACTGGAAAATGATCATTATCAGTATAAATTGAAAATGATCATTATCAGTATAAATTGGAAAATGATCATTATCAGTATAAATTGACAGGAAAATGATCATTATCAGTATAAATTTACTGGAAAATGATCATTATCAGTATAAATTGACTGGAAAATGATCATTATCAGTATAAATTGAGTGGAAAATGACATTATCAGTATAAATTGAAAATGATCATTATCAGTATGAACTGACTGGAAAATGATCATTATCAGTATAAATTGACTGGAAAATGATCATTATCAGTATAAATTGAAAATGATCATTATCAGTATAAATTGACTGGAAAATGATCATTATCAGTATAAATTGAAAAAATGATCATTATCAGTATAAATTGACAGGAAAATGATCATTATCAGTATAAAATATAAATTGACAGGAAAATGATCATTATCAGTATAAATTGAAAATGATCAGGAAAATGATCATTATCAGTATAAATTGACAGGAAAATGATCATTATCAGTATAAATTGACTGGAAAATGATCATTATCAGTATAAATTGACAGGAAAATGATCATTATCAGTATAAACTGACTGGAAAATGATCATTATCAGTATAAACTGACTGGAAAATGATCATTATCAGTATAAATTGACAGGAAAATGATCATTATCAGTATAAATTGACTGGAAAATGATCATTATCAGTATAAATTGACTGGAAAATGATCATTATCAGTATAAATTGACTGGAAAATGATCATTATCAGTATAAATTGACAGGAAAATGATCATTATCAGTATAAATTGACTGGAAAATGATCATTATCAGTATAAATTGACAGGAAAATGATCATTATCAGTATAAATTGACAGGAAAATGATCATTATCAGTATAAATTGACAGGAAAATGATCATTATCAGTATAAATTGAGTGGAAAATGATCATTATCAGTATAAATTGACTGGAAAATGGTCATTATCAATTAAAATGTGTTTGAGTAATGATTGATATCATTCTGATAACTACACATATAAAATGGAATTCATATACCATAAAGCTAATTCTAATTACTTGTAATAAATACATTTACACAAAATAATCTCATCAGTTACAGTAGACTCTTAGTAAATTTTTGTCCACCATAACAATATTAAATATAATATGTATCTGCAGTCTGACTAATGGGTAACATGAGGTACCGTATTTAACAAAATAAAAGTACAGATAATAAATACATTATGTTTACAAAGGGCTTCCTTCCTCAAAAACATGATAATACACCTCTGTGCTTTATTCCATGTCTGAAAGGAGACAGTGTTGCTTGTAAAACTAACATCATCCAACAAGTTTTCAAGTGAGATCACAGATATTTTTTTAAGAATTAAACAATAGTCCACAAAAATTGTTTGCACTAAAAACAAACAGAGGAATTGTAACCTGCTCCCACAGGTGGAAATGGATATGAACATGAAACAAGTTTTTTAATATTGGTCCCGAAACCAAGAATTCTGACACAAGATTTTGGCACCCACTAATGAATGCTAGATCCTTGCATAGACACTCCATGTAAAATATCAGTAAAATAAGCTAAATGTTCCCAAAATGAGGTTAATGATCAGTATTATCCTTAAGTATTCTGACGTTTTTTGTTTTGCTGCTGTCTTCTACATATTGTGTCAAATCCAATAAAATTTGGAATTTATTTATAAGATGAAAAATGATCTTATTTCCATGTGTATTTTTGGATAAATAAAAAAAAAAAAAAATGATCTTATCCAAGAAAATCTGTACTAATGTTCTGTCTGAGTTCTTTGTATTGAATTAGTATAGATAAACATTGACAAGATTATCTGCCTTCCTATACATAAATTTCAAATATTATCGGCTAAAATTAACAATATGAAAAATAGCTTTAACTGGCAATAATGGTCAGAAAATGTAAGATGTCATTTGTGTTAAGACACCCTCCTAGTTCACACTTCAGAAACCACTGTGTCCACATGAAATATTGAAGATAAATAACCATCGTTCTGAAATTCTACAGTCAAAGGAATTGAGATTCATATTCAGGTGTGTTTTATATGCAAAAGTCATCATACCCAACATTTGGCTGAAATGATGCTTTTCTTAGAAAGCGAGTTTCAAAAGTGAAATATGAAAATTTTAAGATTGACAGGTCAATCTTTGTCAAACATTCTGGATTAACTATACAGAATTTAACTTCAATCATAGGCTTAAAAGAAACCTGAAAAAACCATGTGGTTGCTGCACTATAGGAAGAGTGAAAAAAAAGACCTTATTTGGAATGATATGAAGTCCCTTTCTTACTTAGCCTCATTTCTACAGGCTTCAATTTATTTACTCGTGGGTATACATTTTGGATGCCCTGATGTGGCGATTGGACATGGTGGATAAAAAAGTGAATGTTGTCACATTGAGTGATGAATAAGACAAATAAATGATGTCAAACAAAATTTCAACTTTATACACAAATTTTTTTTTTTTTCATTTGTAACATTTAAAACATTTTTTGCCTATCAAAAATCTATCTGTCCCAATATATTGATAAAAAAAAGCAAAATGTATGTATAATAGAGAAAATTATCAGATCTTTAACAATATATCAATCGCCCAACCAACAAGAAAAATGATAAAAGTCAATGACAGATCTAAACATTGATTTCAAACAATAATATCTCCTTCATCAAGTAGAAACAAGCAATTAAATAAAAGTGAGATTATTTAGGAACAAGAATATTTAAGGCACAAATTTTGTTGTGGCTCGGGATGGTCACAGCACCAGCTACTGCAATCCCCACAGAGTCAGCCATTGAGGCTACTCCCATACTAAACTCTCTATACTCTGGTTCTACCTACAATACAAAACAAGAACATTACAAGCAATCCCAAGAGATTTTATCATCAAGGCTACACCCATACTAAACTCTTGAAACTCTGTTTCTACATACATTACAAAACAATTCCCATAAAGTTGGCTATTTAGGCTACATGCTTTCAAAACTGAAAATAACATGATGACATTGCAAAACTTAATGACATCCCAAATGATGTGACACAATTTTTTATATCGATTAAAGACTAGTTTAATTAATTTCTTAATAGCAGCAGAAAGATTTTGACAAGGAAAAAGCTGCATTCCAGCTATAAGTTTTCATAAGACATGATATCAAAAGTACAAACAAGAGGCCTAGCGGCCTTGATGATCACTTGTGATAAATGTGAGACCCATTTTGGTAATTAAAGCACCTTAAGATGCCTCATCCATGAACAGCATTTGATTCTATCATATCTGGGTATTGAGAAGAAGATTCTGAAATCTAAGTCAATTTGACACCTTTTGACCCCACTCATCAGCCCCTAGGGGTCAGTTAGGACCAATATATGCATACCATCTAGCCATCATTCCTCGCTCACAATTCTTACCAAGTTTCGGATATTTTCAATGGCAAATAAACAAATTAAACTCCAAAACCTATTTTGCCAATATAAGCTATAGTAAATCTGATTGCCTCCCCATGAGAAAATACCAAACCCTGGGGCATGAATTTTGGTAAAGCACCTTAAGATGCTTCCATCCATGAAGAATATCTGGGTGTTGAGAAGATGATCTTTTATAAATTTGAGTCAATTTGACAATTTTGAGCCTGCCCCTCAGGCCCCTGTGGGCTGGGGAGCATATAATTCACACTTTTGGTTCATCTTAGGCCAGGGAAATTATCTGTGACATTACACTGGAATCAGTTCAGGGGTTTCTAAGAAGAAGTCGAAAATGTTATATTGTTATGGATGCATGACACCAGACAAAGGTGATCGCAGTAGGTAACCATAAGACTTTGTTGGGGGTAGGGGGCACAGGAAATAATGAGTCTCAATCAATTATGAAGATCTTGAGGCTGATTGCAGGGATAAGGGATGGAGTGTATGGCTGTTTCAAATCAAGGTCGTCTGCAGATGGTCAGTAAGCAAGCTTTTGCAACTGGGAATGGTGAAAGGAAAAAACCAGGCATGTACAGAGAATGCCAGGATACAAGCAGAATAAGATCTTCTGTAACATAACATTGGACTATTACCCAGCTCATCACTAATGAACCACAAAAATATACTAACCTTCTTAGAAATCCTGAAAAATGTGTTCACAAATGCAGCTCCTCCCAATAGACCCTCGTATAGGACGATGGCAAGCACAATCCAAATACTAGGTATGAACTGATAGAATACTTGTAGCAGTAGAAGCCCCATGTTGATAAACTGTACAACACAAAAGAGAATTAGACCCTATGTTAGTAAAATGTATGAAATCAGAGGAGATTTAGGCCTCATGTTGGTAAATTGCACATAAATGGAGGAGATTTAGACCCCATCTTGATAATAAAAAGACAGGGTTTTCCTGAGGGCTTTTTAGGGCTGATAATGGTCCCGGGCTTTTAAGGGCTGATAATGGCCCCGATTCCAAATTCAAATTATTTCATATTCATTCCAAATTCCCCCAATTTTTAGTTTTTTTCTTTCAAATTTTCTTCCCAAAATGAGGCAAAAATAACCTCAGTGAAAAAAAGTCATGAAGGAACAAAATTTTCATTGAAAATAATTATCGAATTAATCAGATCCTGTAGAGTACAACATACACATGTATTTCTTCTACAACTGGTTATTCAGCACATCAGCTTTGACAAAATGTCTTGAATTAGAATATGTTTTCACTTGTAGCTTAACAGTTATTAGTTATATGTTCTCACTGTGTTATAAAATCTGACCTATATACTGTATATGTACTTACCTGGAGGATAGGTAAAAGCCACAGTTTCTTTATTTCGATCACATTCACCGACGACCTTGATATAAACACTCCAAGTTGGTAATCAACCTGGTACCTGGTCAGTGAAAATGTACAAGATAAATATGGCACGTATACACTTCAACATAAGTGATTATAAACACAAATCTACCCAAGGTGATGAAGGAACCACACTGTAGATCTTCACCGGAAGTTGAAATGTTTAAACGTTCTATGGACTAAGCTACCAAGGTCCCCATACATAAATAAAATACACATTGCATATATGAATGTACACTCTATCACAAGTAAAAATAACATGGTCAAGTATAGACATATGAAGTGAGATTTTCTTCACAGAAAAATAAACCACTTAAAGCAGAGATGTAGAATGGTTATATAGATCTCTGAATTTGAATTTATCTTAAATCTGGTCATGTTTTCTTTCAACAAATTCATAACATTCATCTGTAAATGATGACATAGGAATTTTACTCACCACCTATACTGCTCCGATTTTGTCAGCCAGATGTTATTGAAATATAAGATTTCATGCTAAAAGAAAATATAAAAAATACACTGCAGTTTCTATACTGGGAGTATACGATATCATTGCCGAATTTTGAAGATAGTCTTACTGTAAAGCAACATAAAACAAGAGGCCCATGGGCCTTAACGGTCGTCTGACATTAGATACAAGATATTTGACCCCTGTGACCTTTAAAGTGGTCATTCATTTGAACAAACTTGGTAGAGCTCCATGCCAGTATGCTCTGTGCCAAGTATTAGCCCCCTAGACCTTCTAGTATTTGAGAAGAAGTTGTTTGAATGAAAAGTTTACGCACGGCGGACGACGACGGACGAAGCACGATGGCTATAGTGCTAAAAGAGAGAAACTATTACAAAATTTAAAGAATTACTTGGCTTGGGCATCTCCTGATCTAGATTCCAACATTTCTTTAAATCAATTTTCGCTTTTCTCATTTGCCTTTTAGGTTTCAAGACTTCAAGCTCTTAGCATCACTGATTAGACCGGGAGAATGACTCTACCATTCTAAATTTGCATTAAAAGGCACTATTCACATGTGTGTCTTTTGTATAACGTTGACAATCATCAAACAGTGTGTAATTTTTTGTACACCTATTTAAAACCTTCAATATTTTTTTCAAAATTTCAATGAGCATACCTACCAAACCCTGGTTGATGAAGTACTCAGCAAAATATACAAACATCAGTGGCACCATGTATTTCAGCAATGGCTTAAAATATATATATATAAATGTATATAATAAATATATTAAAAGAAATTAAAGTCGGACATTTATTTGACACATTATAAATACATTTATCACAATAATCAATGTCAAAAATCAATACCTCATGTTATATTGTGTACTATATATGTCCTTGTAATCAAGCTGCCTTTCCATAACCCTGCAGTACTCTCGATAAAGAGGAAGCTTATTTCAGGACAGACTTACCTTGGTGGAATCATTGTAACTTAAAAAACATATTAAACCGAAATTGATTCATTATACAAAAATATGATGAAATCATCAGAGATTTTCGAAACCAAATTGCATTATCTTGACAAGGAAGTACACACATATTCATACTGATTTCAGAGATGAAAGAAAAGACATATTCATATTCTACTCACCACAATCAGAGCTACTTTCTGCTTTGCTGTTAATACCATCCGCTTTGACTCTATGGATAAACAAAAAGGATATATAGCTGAAATAACGGCAATTTTTTGTCTTATAAGCAATGGTTTGTATTCACAATCTGTATGTTTTCAACATACTTTCATGTACATGTGTGCAACATATATCCTAGCTAAAGAATCTTAACCTTCATATTGGTAAGATATGTTCAGAGGTATCTAAAAAATAGAAGCATCGTAAGGTCATATATTTATATAACAATGCATTGATTTTGATGTTATCTACAGGACCATTTCTGTTTACTGGTGTGACCAGCTTGGACCAGCTGTATGGACCAGCTGTATGGACAGACCTATTGTTTTAATTTTGCTTTCTCAAGAGCTTTAGCAAAGCTTTTTGAGGCATGTACCAACATTTGTCGGTCTGTCCTGATTAAATGAACGAAAGCGGTATAGGATTTGGACCTATGGATATGTTCCTGGGTCTAAGGGGAGATAATCATCACACACTGTGTTGGTAAGGAGTTATTTTTCAAACTTAAAAGAATTATTCTGTTAATATAAGAATTATTTTGCAACTCAAAAATTTAATTTGATGATGAAGGAATTACTAAGATGATAGAATTCTAATTTGTTCTAATTTGTTTTTCTCCTGTCTATCAAACCTCTCAGTTCATTTAATGAGATAGTGGTTTATTAATTGGATACAATCAAAGTGTCACTCACTTTTAGTCTCCTCCATCAGTAGTAATGAGCTGTCTGTAGAATCCTGGGTAGAAGATCCCGGGGGTCTTTTGATCACCAGGAAAAAACTGTAATTTAAAGATTTTGTGACAATGTACCACAACTTAAATGAAATCATAATAGCAATGTTGTAAGAGTATTTTAATGGTGTAAAGTGCAGTTGATTTATAAATTCAAATTATGTAACCTTATATTCAATGACATCGTCTGCAGTATCATCAGTTTGCATTTAATGTTTACAGTAAAACATCTACCCCATTCTTATAACAGTTAATTTTTGGCCTTTCTTAAATTTGCTTGAAATGCCAAAACATATATTTTGAGTTAAATGTCAAAAAGAAGCCCACCTTTTACCAGCTTAATGGCAAAAGGGCAAAATGGGTGAAAGTTAAACTACAGTAAATGTTCTCTATACATGCAGTGCTAGCATAAAGTTTAATGATATTTTCATAATGCAAAATGTTAACTTCATAACTGATCTCTTTTTATAAAGGTGGCTAACGCTTCGTTCCATGACCAACATTTGTTGGCTAGGTTTATCACACCATGAACATTCAGGGTTATTTTGAGGGGAGTCTATTGCAAGAGCTGGTGGCTATCTAACTGAACAATATGTGAGTGACCTGTCACTTGCCATCCAGATCATTTATGGTAAAGAATGTGTCTTGCAAATGGTTCACAACCTTAATGACAGCACAGACTGATCCATTTCAAAATTTTTCTACCAGGCAGATTTATTTTAATGATATCTGCTTTTCTCGATTTTTAATCAAGAAATGTGTTCCGATTTAAGATGACTTACTTGACAGCCATGATGATAGGTATGATGACCATACAAAGTGTTGTAGCTTTAGGAGAGAGGCCTGCAGTGGTCAGTCCTGCATACACCAGAGCCCCAAACACACCAGCACCACCTGTTCCTGAGGAGTAGGCTGACACCACATTCCTGAACATAGAATTCCAAAATGTTTCAAAGGTAAAAGAAATTGCTATTTTTGCTATTTTTATTTCACCACTGCTGTTTGTCTCATTGAGACATGGTTTTAGTTAATCTCACAGACAGATCTACTTCCTTCAACTCCTTAACCTATCAAAGTTTTAACTACCAAAGCTTACTTTGCCAAGTCCAAACTACCAAACTTACTCTGCGAAGTTTTAACTGCAAAAGCTTAATTTGACAAGTTCAAACTACCAAATCTGATATCATCATGCTCTTACTATGAAAGCTTACTCGCCATAACCTCATGACAGATACTAAGCTGCTCTGGCCTGTTCTAACTACGAAAGGCTTACTCTGACGTGACTCTGCAATATCACATCTGATTTGCAACACACAGCATATTTAAAAGAAAATATGTTAAATCTAATGTTTATCAGTAATTCTTTATAATTGTATAACCATCAATTTCCTATTTCACTGTAAGTAATTTTTAAACTAGTACGTAGGTATTATATAGTTAATTAAATCCTACTAAAGATACCTATTAAATACCGTAAATTATATTATTTAAGTGTAAACCTCCATAGAATCATTGCTCAAAACTGTAATTGTACAAATATTGTACTAATTAGAGTTTCTGTATTTGTTTTATATAGCAAGTACTATAGTAATTAATATTGACCAAATTTACAATATCTCCCCTATAAAAACGGTGGTATAGCAATTTATTGTTGTGCTATCAATTGTCATTCTGGTAAGCAACATGTGAATATTTCTGGGCATTTTGGAAACTACAGATAACATTTTTTCACGCATGAAATAATTCTGATAAGTGTTGACAATGACCTACCTGTGGAAAAATGCCGAGTAGCTGAGGTAGGTTACTTCCCCTAGTCCTCCTCCGATACTGGCACATACCACCCCTTCAATGATTTCAACATAATGATTTATCATATCAGTTTCTTCTAATTAATGACAGTGGTGTGAGGTACCCTTCAGGTTACTTTTCTATTGAAAATTAAAAACAAACTAAATGCTCATTATATTATTTTGTAATGAGCTTTATATTATTTTAATATGAGATTTATATTACTTTAAGAGAATGTTTATATGATGCTTATATGATTTTGAGATGATGTCTATATGATGCTTATATGATTTTGAGATGATGTCTATATATTTTTCAGATGATATCTATATAATTTTCAGATGATGTCTCTATAATTTTTATATTAGGTCTATATAATTTTGAGATGCTGTTTATATACCGATAATTTTAAGATGACGTCTTTATAATTTTGAGATGATGTCGATGTCTTTATAATTTTGAGATAATGTCTATATAATTTTGAGGTGATGTCTCTATAATTTTTATATAATGTCTATATAATTTTGAGATGATGTTTATATACCGATAATTTTAAGATGACGTCTTTATAATTTTGAGATGATGTCTATATAATTTTGAGATGATGTCTATATAGCTTTGAAATGATGTCTTTATAATTTTGAGATGATGTCTATATAATTTTGAGATGATGTCTATATAGCTTTGAAATGATGTCTACATAATTTTGAGATGATGTCTTTATAATTTTGAGATGATGTCTATATAATTTTGAGGTGATGTCTGTATAACTTTGAGATGATGTCTACATAATTTTGAGATGATGTCTTTATAATTTTGAGATTACGTTAATATAATTTTAAGATGAAGTTTATCTTCATGTTCTTGTCTCCAACAAAGCATGTATGTAGACCAAGGCTACCTGATCTCAAATTGTCCTAAGACTGAGCTCACCTGTAATACTCATCCAGATTCCTTGAGAAAATCCCACTAGTACAAAGCTTAGAAGGCAAAAGAAGGTCACTGTGGAAACCTTGAACCTACAAACGAGAGAATCATCCACACTTTGAAAATAATAGCACTGAAAATATCTCCTGGTGAGGAATGCTGGCACAAGTAATTTCATCATAATCAATGTTTATTATTCTAACAGAAAATAAAGAGACAATACAAGTTTCTATTTGATTGTGTATATCATGTACATTTGTTTTAGAATAATCACAATGTATTTCATTGAAATAAAGAAATTGGATCATGTTCCATAACATAACCTAACTAACATAAATCCTCCGCAGTGAAATGATCGAAAGGAGAAATTGACTTTTCCTGTTCTGTCCTGTCTTATTTTTTAGATTGATTGGTTCATGACATTCACCGTTTCACCATTCAGGTTTAAAGAAAAGTTGTATCATTTCTTACAAACTTTTTATCATTTAATTTGTAGATTATTTACTTATTCTGTCATCAATCAGTAGATTTTTTGACGATGATAGAAAATGAGTGAAAAAAATAAGCAAATCCTTATATGGTCATTTTGGTGCATACCTGTAACTGAGTTGTTGAACATAGAAAGGAGCAGTTAATTTGATGAGCAAAGTTGGTAATATATCAGCCAGAAGGATTGCCTGCAATGTTAATAATAATTAGACCTTACAAAATATACATATAACTATTATACTCACATAAAACACAATATATTTACAACATCATACCTATCCAATGATTCAATAACACCCAGTTACACTAGACATGTACATGACACAGTCAATACTTTTGTCGCAAACTCAGATAAGGTCAGATCTACAGTGAAGTGGGGATCACAGGTCATGACTTGTGACAATGGGTTATCGTTACAAAGAGTTACGTACATTTTTAAAATTCCTCCTTACTGTTATATTAGAGACATTTGTAAGTTGTGTAACTATTGACTTACCCCTGTTGATATCTGGTTACACTGAAGCTTCTCATAGCTATTATTCACTGGGGCAAGGGTTGTAGTCTGGAAATGTTGCAAGAAAATATAAAACTACCGGGTAATTTGAATAATGTTTACAAAACTGTTGGCAATTTATTCCATGGTTAAAAATCAAATCAAACTTTCAATGATCTCTCAACTGGGCTGCTGTCTAGTACTTTCATATCTATACAAATTCGTGTATTGTAAAAACATTGCTGATGGATACTTCTATATAAATTCTATTTTTCATATATCTACCTATAAACCACTGATAGTGAAATATGGAACCTACTTCAATACTAAATTTACTCAGTATTAAATGAAGGTGCAATAGATAATGAATGCAACAGCTGATTTTTTTTTTAATCAGAATGAATTAACATAAGAGACTACAGCACATTCTACGTTGTACAGCAAACAAAGGGCTATAACTCCATATTTAGTTCATAGTTCATATTGTTACTAAAGCATAATTATATAGATTCACATAAAAAGGAATTACCTTGAGGTATATGATTGAGAGGACTTCTTCCAACCATTGAAAGGTGACTAGCATTAAAGTTAAATGGCAAATGATGATATATGTTTCCTTTTCAACCTGGTGACAATGTTACAATTTTACATTAAGACTAATGAAAACAACAAAGGAACATTTAAGGAATTGGAATCAATGAAAAAATATTTATCATTACTGAAAGTTGGGAACATTGTACATTACACATACATTAGAACTGGTGTCACTGGAGTGGCCGCCTTCTCCCTGCTCTCTGAGGATATCATGGGCAGCACTAAGCATTATAACGTAGGCAAAGTTGTTACACAAGCCAAGCCACCTATAATAGATAATTAGTACATTCAGACATATTTCAATTCTGATTGAGTAAAAATATTTTGCACAATGAATAAACACATTGGGCAAAGCATTCCTATAAAAACATACTTATAATTCTTCAACAGGTGGAGAGGAACCAATATCTTTCTTCTTTGTACTGGTGTATAAGGTTTGTTGTCTAGACGTGAATACCTTTAAAGCCCCAAAATATGCAACTTTCATTAAACAAGGGCTGTCAGATACAGATATTCTCCCTTTAATTTAAGTATTGAGTCCAACACAGAATGCCTTGAGAAGTTATATTGTTATAAATCATGCTTTGCTGAAGGGATTGTTTATAATACATGTTCATTAAAGTGAAACATGATTAGGGCAATTAATACTTACCAAAAACCAAACAGATTTCGCTTCCTGTATGGTATTTCATTAGCTGCAAAGGCAAGCATCAAAGTTACTGATTCATGAAAATAAAAAGCCAAAGATAGAATGAAGACTAACAAGACGAAAGTAAAGATACAAAAAAATGTTGATAAAAACCTTCTTAATATCAACTTTATTTTAAAACAAGTATCAAAAATATTATTCCATCTTATACTAATCACTCTTGATGGCCGTGATGGAAATGTGCTAGGGGTCTTGAGGTGGGAGGACCCAATAGCCCCAGAAAAATCCATGTGGTTGAATAGGTAATCCCTTTACCTTTTCACATCTGTTTGGAAAATTGAAACCTGGATGTCTAGGCAAGTATGCTACCACTGCACCACCTTACTAAACCTTCCTCCCAATTCATTGTAAAGTGATTTACATTAATTTTTTTTTCATTTTTTTTTTCTCTTTTTTTTTTTAATCGCATCAAATTTCTCAAGAGCTTTATTTCTACATTACAATGACTTATCGCACCTTAAACAATTTTTATTTTATGTGCCTTTTTATTTAAATCAACTACTTCTTGAAGTAATAGATTTTGCACTTTCTATCATATGAAATAAATCTTGATGCACCTAAAGTTAGATTTCAATATAGTTTTCCTTATCTTTTTATCCCACTTTTTCACAAAGCTATCTTCACAGTTCTCCAAGAGACACTGAATATTAAGTTCCATTTTGGTATTCAATTCCTCTAACATGAGTGACTAAGTATTTACTACTAAGACTGTGTTCATCTCTTTGTGTCCAGCAAGCATGTACTATTTATGTCAACTGTTTACAGAATGAGGTTCTTAACCATTTCTATGTCATGAGTCACAACCAGTACCACCAACCATTGCTCCACAACAGGAATGAATCCTTGAAATATTCCTTGTAGTCTTCCTTTATATGCCTCTTCATGTCCAACAAAGCAGCAATAAGATGTACAGTGTTACAGAGATATTAAGTAAGATAATACCTTTAATTTTAAGTGGAGAAGACTTCATCCTTCAAACAACATTTAGGCAAAAAAACATGAAATATATTTGTGTTTCCTGTTTCTTGCCAGTCCTATTATTTTCTACTGACACTTTTTTTTATCTAAATCTTTTGGTAAATAATGAATTTTGAAAATCTGGTGATCCCCATCAGAATTTGTACCCTGAGGCAAATCACCTTATACCTTAGATATATCTTCTTACAGGCTAATGTAAAACATTATCTTTAAACCTTTCTGGGAAGTAGAGGTCACCTTGCCATCATTAGATTGGTGATCAAATGTACATAATGCAAACCACATGCTTAAAATTTCACTTTCACAATGAGGCAAATGTCAGATCAGGTGTTGGAGACAAGTATTCATCTCTTCTAAATGTAATAAATCTGCATTGTTTTGTAATAAGTAATGAGTAATGAAAAACACCCTGCCACCACTAGGGTTCAAACTAGAAATCTCTTGATCTCTAGCTGGACTCTCTACTGCTTGACTAAAGGGAAATTCCAACTAACTGATGCTAGTAAGGTTACCTGTACTCTCATCTACACTACTCCCAACTTTTACAAAGTTTTTGACCCCAAAGAAAACAACTCATGATCAGGTTCAAGGAAGCATCTCAATCTTCTGTAGCTTCTACTCTTGAAGTGGCCCATAGCACCCAATAGGACGCTAAATCTAATGAAAAACACACAGCCAAGTTCAAATTAATGACCCTGTGGTTTCTAGTCAGACACTACCACTCAATACTATAAAGGTGATACATATATACAACTTCTACACTTAACAAGTATTGACCAAACTTCTGTTTGATTTATTTGTGTTTCTCATTTCATTTTGATTCTCCTTCCTGCGAAAAAGTTGAGAAGGCATGTAGGAATCACTGCCTGTCTGCCCATCCATCTATCCAGAGCCTTGTGAGCTCAACTATTCCTACACTTGATGGAATTTCAATAAAACATGGCACTAGATAATTTTCCTTTTTAATATCAAACAGCATCACAGATTGCGATACTCAACGTGATAAATATCTCATTATATATGCATGCCGCACTTACACATACGTGAAATATGTGTATAAACCATTCCCTAATCAATATGCGGTACTTGAGAAATCATCATAAAAAGTACACACATTTTTGGCGTTATAAACGGATATATATATATATATATTTAAATCAATTGGCCTAGTGATGGTTAAAATTCATATACTGTTTTGAAAAGAGACCAACTTTACAGTGCACCATTTAAATTATATAGTTGGCAAAATGCACAAATGCATACATACGCATTTTGTCCAAGTCGTTTTCTTCAGTTTCTGATGACTTGGCAGAGGACTCGTTGTCGTTAGTTTTTGGCTCAGAATCTGTTGCAGTTGACTGGTCAATGGTATCCATAAGCTCCCTCATATCATCATTTTTTATATCAATAAAATCATGTTTGAAAACTAATTAAAAGTTTATAGTTGCATGCACGTCAGCTGTTGCCTTTCTTCTCGATGTCAAATTTACGCTTAATCTTGTCTGTCAGAAGCTTGATTTAGAAGTTTATTTACTTCCGGTAAAATAATGGCGGCGCCTTCAAAAGACGAACACAAGATCAAGTTGGCAAAATCATTCAAAGAAAGACTTGATGTAATTTACACGGATGTTCATTTATCTCATAATGCCATTTTTTCTACCAACAAACTAGAAATTAATTCATTTGTCTTGGAGAGACATGTAAACAAAATAGCATTATGCATTAAAAACTTGTTGTAACTTGTTTTTGATCTATCAATTCAGGTTTAATTAATTCTACATTTATTTTTAAGTTAATAAAACAGATTTACACATTGTTAATACAATTAGTGTACTTCATCTCAGATGCTGTAAGAGAAGTTATCTAATTCTCTATTAAGTGATTTGTGGAACATTTTAATATTTGAGTGCTAGCTTATGCATCCAAATTCTAGTCATTTCAGTACCAAGTTGTTTCGATACATACAAAAGTCTTTCCGATTCTTGCAAAATGTTTTACACATAGACATTGATTCTGTGTAAATAGTTGAGACTCGCTTGAATTTTGAGGACCCATTATATCTTTCAGTATTGGGACTCATCAAAATGTTGAAATAGTGTTTTAGCCTGTTCTGTTTCTGTTATTGGGTTTACTTACCCATGACTGATTTGGTAGTATATTTCATGTATATGTACATAGAAAATATGTCATGATGTACACAATGTTAGTGTTTACCAATGATGGTCCAAAGTTGATAGGATCAGTGGCACATTAAAAAGGCTGCTGTGAACAATGTCTTAGAAGTTTTGCTACCACTATTCCCTACTAAATGTTGAAACAGTAATTTCCATGAATTGTAAAGAGATCTCATCATAAGTTCAAGTCTGTGCTGCATTTAGGTTCTTCATAGTGAACAACATTCTGTATTTTCATTGACTTTATACAAATATTAGATGTTGATAGAATATGAATAATTCATACTGCTTCCCAATAAACTTCAAAAGTTTGAGATAGGAGGAAAGTGATGTGGATGATTTTGACTTATTTATTTAGAGAGGGATCTTAAGATCTTAAGGGAGCGATCTAGGATGGACTTTATCAAGATATAGACAGAAACAAAGTTTGTTTGGAGATATCTTCAGTTATTGGCAGCATTTGTTCCAAATTTGTAGATGAGACTGACCTGATTTTATATGTATACTTAATTCCCTTTAGCATAACCTTTAATTTTGACACGTTTTTGAAAGTTATGCCCCTTTGTTGAAATTTTTCAGTAGGTTTTGCTCTGTATGACATTATAGATTTTCCAGTGGTACCATAAATGTAGATCATAAAGAAGGTATCTCAATGTATATGTAAAATTTCATTAGTAATATGTTTGTGGATTAAATATTTTGTAGAAGCTGGGATGTCCATTCACAGAAGGAGTAGAAGATTCATGGATTTCTGAACTAATTTTCAAGCCAGGAGAACACAGGATCAGACTGCTACAGTGGCTTTTTTCGAAGTAGGGCATTTTGGAGCAAAAAACATCCTTTTTGATATTCAAGTCATATTGATTTGGTCTGGATTATAGTTGCTTAACTGTTAATATGCTGATAACATTCTTTTGATGAATTTTTTTTCTTGTGAAAATTCGCAAAGCAAGATTATGTGTCAAACTTCACTCGCAGATCATAAGTAATACATGAAGATAGATTGTAACTGATTTTATATAACTGTTATTTATTTCTTAAATGTATTGTTACTTAAATACATTACCAGTATTTTTCTTTGCAGGTTTGACTCCAGATTAAATGATGTTTTGGATCCACAATTTGCATCCAATGAGTCCAAGATGGACTCTCGTATACAGAGTAAGTATTCTGTAGATACATATTCCATATACAGATAGGTATTCTATAGGTACAGGTTCGCATATAAACCGTAGGTATTCTGTAGGTACAGATTCCTGTATACACAGTAGGTATTCTATATGTAAAGATTCCCTTATACAGAGTAGATATTCTATAGATACTGATTCCTATATACGCAGTAGGCATTCTATAGGTACAGATCCCCGATTATCACCAGCACACAATTCTTTTTCAAACTCAGCTTGTCATTTTGGTTCAGATTCAAGTGTTTTGAGGGTTCTAAATGTTTGTTCTACTCCTACTTGTATTGTGTACATTTTTACACAGAAGCCCAATAACTCAGTCAATAGAACCTGAAACTACTGCAACTTCATGATTGATGAAGTGTTTTGTCTCAGGAAACTGAGATCACAAATCATCTAATGTTGTTGTGGCTGAGTTTTTTGTCAAGACACTTCACCCAAATGATCTAGAAAGTCTACAACAATGCTTCCCTCATGCTATTCATTGTGTCAGCCACCAGGTAGTTTAAGGAGACAAGGATGAAGAATAAAGAAAAAGGACCCAGATACATAACCATATAAAAAAAATTCTAATACTTACTGAGATGTGTATGATACTATATCATTAAATGGTGGACTATTTAACTTTCCCTTTGTCCTTAGTCCATATTTCTTAGAAAAAAAATTGTTATTCCTTTTTTTGGGGATGGACTTGGTGATACTTTTTTTCAAATTTCATGTAGGTCCCTAGTTGTGCCGTTGTGATTTTAAGATTGATCAAAAAAATAAAGTGGCTGACAGGCAGCCATCTTGAATTTCAACAATGAAAGTTTGTTTATTTAATTTGTTATGATTTTATTACTCAGAATTTTCAATAAGAAATAATGACTTTGTGAAAATTTCATTGACTCTTGAGTTAAGTTTGCTTAAATATTTACAGGACTGTTGTTTGTGGCAACGACCCTTGGGCTGTGTAAATATGATGATGTTGACCTTATAAGGGTGAGTCTGACTTCTTTCACCAGAGTATTGTGGATAAGTAGTTTTCATCTTTAATTATCTTTGTGGCATTTTATTGTGCTCAGTGGTTGAAAGTGTAATAAAATCCAAATCATTATTCTGATTTCTTTACAACTGTAATGGTGCTCAGATTGTTAGTTTACCTGGTTCAGGGGAATTAATTTATGGTTTTCAGCTCCCTAGGGCAGGAGGGGCAAAGCCCTAAAGGAGAATATAGCAAATTCTTTGATATCCTACTCCTGTAGGAATCGGTTGATTCTTACCCAATATGGTTTGAAGTTTTCTTTTGTGAAGGGGAGTCAGCATTGTATAATCTATAGGTACTGGTTTCACTTTAGCAGGAGGGATTGGGCCCAAAAAGGAAAGTTTGCAAATGCCTGGAGATCTTTCTTTTTCTGTAGGAATGCCTTGATTCTGTTCCAGTGTGGTCTGAGGCATCATTAGGTGAAAGGAAATCAACTGTGTATAAGTAGTGGGTCTCAGACTCCTGGAGTGAGCTGCAGGACCCAATAGGGGAAATAGAGCATATTCTTAAAATCCATCTTTTGATGGAATGCTTTTATTCTGTCACAATTTGGTGTGAAGCATCCTTGGATGAAGCAGAATAAATTTTGAACAAGTAGACAGGTGTAACCCCCTGTAGCCAGAGAGACAAAGGCCAAATAGGGGAATTCAGTATCCTTTTTTCTCATAGCAATAGATGACGTTTAACCCAGTGTTATCTGAAGCATGTTTGTGTGACGGGAAATCAGTGTTGTATATACAATGGATCACTACTCTTCTTGGATGGAAGGAATTGGGACAAAATGCTTTAAAATTCTTTTATCTTTCTTTGGAATGGATAGATTCTGCCCAAGTTTGGCCTGAGATATGCTTTGGTACAAATGTCAATGTCAGTTTGCCTTTAGGCCTCTTTTAATAGAATATTTACGAGATTCTTAAATGCTTTGACATCTTATATAGGGGTTTGCTTCAAACAACTTCAAACCATAGAACATGATTTGACAAAAATATGATTGAAGGGATTGAAGAGAAAAACCTTATAACAAAGTACAAAAAGGTTAAAAAAAAACCTGAAAAAACTTTTTTCATTTGTGTTTTGTAGATTAAATGCTTTCCATAGAAACATTCCACTCATGAGTAAATGAGAATAAATAATTTCTATGAACTGTCACTGACCCTTCAACAATTAAACAATGATATCTCAACATCAAGCTCTACATCTGATAAGTCAAGATCATCAGTCAAGGTTAAATGGTCAAAGGTCATAATTGAAAGCAAGGTTCAGATGACAAAAGTCAAATGGTCATTTGTCAAAGTTTAAAGGTTAAAGATTGCAGTTGACTATTTAAAAAAGTCGATGCAGTATAGCAATAATTTTATCTGTCAGAATTTTTTTTTAAAGAAATTGTTACTTAAATTATTTGATGAAAAATGTATATATGCTAATGATATTAAGTGTGTTTTACTTTTCAATGTAATAGGGTGTTAACACTAAACCTACCAGACAGGCAGCCTTCATGGATCAATTGCTGGATAATATTTGTATCATGGATGCTGCTGAAGATCCAAAGAATAAATCACTGTGTAACCCGGGTGTTATCAGGTAACTGTACTGAAAATAGACTTTTATGTATGTAGGCAAAAACACACAAAAACTGCTGTATGTAGGCCTCAATCAAAACACACCGTAACTGCTGTATGTAGGCCTCAATCAAAACACTAAATGACTGCTGTATGTAGGCCTCAATCAAAACACACCGTAACTGCTGTATGTAGGCCTCAATCAAAACACTCAATAACTGCTGTATGTTGGCCTCAATCAAAACACTCAATAACTGCTGTATGTAGGCCTCAATCAAAACGCACCATAACTGCTGTATGTAGACCTCAATCAAAACACACCGTAACTGCTGTATGTAGGCCTCAATCAAAACACACCATAACTGCTGTATGTAGGCCTCAATCAAAACGCACCATAACTGCTGTATGTAGGCCTCAATCAAAACACCCCATAACTGCTGTATGTAGGCCTCAATCAAAACACACCGTAACTGCTGTATGTAGGCCTCAATGATCATGTTTACAAAATGAAATGCCTCATTTATAAATCTGTCTCATGACATCATCAGCACTAAATTTTAGAGCGGTTTACCAAACCAAAGAACTTGTCAAACTGGACATTAGAAATTGATTGTGAATATTGGGATGGCATAGATATGTATCGGGAAGTATAAAAAACATGAACAATCAATAACGAAATTAACATTTTTAAAGTAATGTCCCTTTAAAAGGTATAGCTCATCTTGATCATATCAAATCAGTTTTGTGATTTTGGCACAATGTTATATCAGGATAGCAACATTGTAAATCAAAATTGAAAAACACCTGGTCATTGTAGGTAAATGCTGTCATTTTTGTTGTGTTTGTAATTTCATAGAGGTTAATTATCTCTGTAAACTGAATTGTGAGTTGCTGAGTAAAATTCTTCACATTGTATAAGTAAAAACAACATGGATTTTACATATTACAGTGATGCCACCAACCTGGACGAACAGTTTAGAAAGGATTGTCTGTACATAGACTCACTTGTCCAACAGGAGAGAATGGATGCCTTATTTAACCGGAGGTCAACACTCCTACCTCCAGATCTTCAGCAACAGGTGGAAATCAGCTGGGCACAACAAGGTCACACCAAAGACAAGTAAGCAATATGTTCAGCTACACTACAGGATATTATTTACAGTTTCAGTAGCTGAAGTGTCCTGAATTTAGTATGGACCACCCATCAGAATCACCAGACACACACCATGCCCCCTCTCAGAGAATTATCCTTCTTTAAAGTAAAATCTTTCTTCAAGTAGCTGGTATTCAATTTTATAGTTGAGTTAGGTGTCTGTTAAAGACTCATTGGCCTCTTGTTAAATCAATTTAATGAATGTATTTTCTGTTTTTCAATTCTTAACATTTTAAGCTATTTTTTTTACCAGACCACCAAAGCCAGATTTACAGAAACTAACAGATGCGGCATATAAGCTTGCTCAAGATTTAGGAAGACAGACGGAAATATTGAAAGAATTGACGAAAACAGTAAGTTATGGTACTCAAAAGAGATTTTTTTACACATTTCACAATTAAATTGATAGGTGCATTTAATCACTAATTTCAAAATCAAAATTTCAATTCTCAATATATCTTGATAAGTGTAAAAGATATCTGATAAAAGATATTTGAGAGTATCAGAGTAAATGATTAGCATTCAACATGTAGTAACAGCTGATCACAATAACAGCTGATACCATTTCATGATTTGCAGCTTAAACGATGAAAAAAAATTTATTCTTGTTTTTATGGCACAACATATTTCTTTCTGAAACCAATTGAATAATATATATGCATATAATTAAATTTCTTTTTCTTTCACCACAGTTTGAATATCAAGTTCCTGATGAGTCCCGGATGGAGAAAATCAGTAAAACCATGCAGTTAGTTTTGTCAGAGTTGTCACAGCTAGAAGTTGGCTTTTCCTACTGTTACGAAAATGAGATGTGTCATTGGTGCAATAAAACACCGCCAACTCTGAACCAGCTTGGTCCAGCCTTCAAACGAGTTCACACACTTCTCCAACAGTTTGTAAATGTAAGGGTTCACCTTCCCCAAGAGATTAACAGCTAATCCAGCCATCTTTTAATATTAAGTTTTCTAATAAGCAGACAACATTGAAATACTCAAACTGTTCAATTTAGTTTTTTAACTTTTGAGATATTCAGAAAAATACAAGGGCGGTTGTGGTTCAAACATTACTAATGTTAATGTACAAGAGACAGCTTATAACATCAGGGTTTGGTTTATCCAAATCTTATTTTACCAGATCCATTGTTGTAGTTGCTCTTGCAGTATCTGACTAGTTTTGCATATCTTTCCGCGTCGCAGTGCCAGGTTGGTCAACATCGTTACCTTTGGAACAATGTCATCTATATCTACAGTACTGGGTCATGTTTGTTAAGCACAAGACGTAAAATCCATGTTTATCAAAGTCTTCCGATGTCAGGACAAATTTGTTTGATAAATTATCATGTTCATTTCAAAGTCGGTGTCATACTTGTTGATAGCTTGTATCAGATCAAAGATTGATAATCCAACTATACCAAGACAAAGTTTGTAAATAATGTTTGAACAAATGCACATTTTCAGTTAATACTACACTAATCAGAAGGTTAGTTCATCAATACCAGGCAGGCTTAATGTCAAGATTGTCTTCCATTAAAGTGTTTTTTTTTCTCTTTAAAAATTTAAAATTACTCAAGAATTTTGTGCACTATGAATCTTTGGGGTTCCTTTCCAATATTGTGTTGGTTTAACCAAAGTTAGTTGTTATAAAATGCACCTTTTTCTGAAAGAACGGACAATCAAAAATGTTTCCATGTATTGCATGAAACAAGATGATATCAAAGGGCATGTTCTGATCACACAATATCTGGATAAAACTCCAAATGTTCCTATGTCATACATTGAACTTTGTAGTGGATGTAAAAAGATATGTTGTTAACCTCTATTTTAGGTTATATTCTGTATACTAGGGTATTATTTCATGGGCTGTTGAATGTGAAGCCTCAAAAGCTATTAAAACCAGTTTCATTTGTGTCGTGGAATGAACATTCTATTGTACTGCTTGATTAATGTTAAACAATACTATATTTGTTAATGGTTTTGTATCCTTTATCTTCCCCATTAAAGAAGGATGAAGATACAATGTACAACTGTTGAAATTATATCAAGAACTGATTATATATCGTTTAACCTGCTCTCAGGATTTTGGAAAGGATTCTGAAAATCACCCAATTCAATAATTCTGTAGTTATATGTTTATGTACATTCTGTAACTGACTAACCCTTCATGTCAACATGTATTCAGACGACACAATATAAAGTAATATTAAAAAGACAAGGAAATTTTTAACAGTAGGTGTGCAACAACTTCGTGTAATGCCCGATATGGGTCGCAGATGTGATTTTACACAACTTGTAGCGTATCTATTTTTGAAATGATTTCCATTTCAGATCCTTGAGGGATTCAAGTCCATCAGATCATCTTATACAAATTTGAGTCGAGATTCGTCAAAGCGGTTAAGAAGCCTCGTTTCAAGTGCAACACATAAGAAAGCAACAGATTTAGGTATAAAATGTTTATTGCATAAACTTCAGAATGTATCCATGACTTTATAACCAGCTTCATCACATACGTAACACCATTTAAAACTTACCTTAAGGCATCATCACTTTATCCAATCTGTCAACTGTTTGAAAATTTAATGGCAGGTATATACATATTGCAATTGAACTTGCGAGACATCACAGATAGTATTGAATATGAATGTAACAGTAAGCTACAATCAAGTAAATATATTTAAAGAAACTTATTCATTGAATGTAAAATAATTGTTTACTTTACATGTAATAATCTTCAATACATCCATGGTGAAATAAGGCACAAGTATGAATCTGAATTAAAACAAATCAATTAATACATATGTAATCGTTTGTTAACAGCATCGGTTAGACAGGCTTCGTTGTCTAGCTTCCAGGACTGTGGTAGCGTCCTGGAGAGATCGTTACAGCGCCACGACATGGAAGCCAGCATGTCAAGTTCCATGAGGTCCTCATCCTCCATTCTCCATGGGGAAAGGAAAAACAAACATTAGTATTCATCATCCAGGTCTTTATGGCAGTGAATTTGAATGGGAAAATGTTTCGCGCTACCCTGATTGTCAGTATTTATGAATTGTTAAATTTATTGTTTTATTGAATAGAAGACAATATTTTGAAATAAATGTATCTTAAAAACACATTAATTCTATGTTATTGATTTAATACCCCGAGATGCTACTTTTCAAAGCGTTTTTTTTTTAATTTCTTTTTTTAAAGCCAATTTCTTTTTTTAAAGCCAATTTCTATTTAAGTTAAGAAAATATATAGTGAAGACCTTCACTTACAACTATTTACCCAGACATGAACATTTTTAAATATCTATTAATGTCCCAAAAGATATGCTTAAAAAATATTTGAAGTATTTATTTAAATGAAAGTACTTTGTTTTCAAAATTACTTTAATCCGCATTTTCTCTAGAAAATTATTCACAAAATCCATTTTATGCTAGTAAAAGCATGTCCTATAGTATATTAGCTGTAACAGAATACCGATCAATATTTCATTTTATGTTGTGTACTAACCCACAGCTGTTACCAACTCGGTGTGTAGGCGGTATCATTAAACAGGTTTTATCCATCTACGTGTAACCTTTGCCACACCTATACATGTACAGTTTCCACAATGTATTAGTGATGGTAGAGAGTTCCACTACTTTTCCTCCATAAAACGGTTTCTTCACATTGTATCATGATGATGATAACAAACATGTTCTAACACGAGCTGAGCATGTAATACAACTAATTCTTGTCCAAAACACTTTGTTCATATATTAAATATGGTATACTGCAAGAACAGGCTCCATTAGTTTTCTCAAAATCAATCATACTATCATTGTACCTTGCAAAATGAAACCCATTTTAATTCAATATAAATTATTTCATTACGGAATATTGTTCCACAATTTTGAATAGTGCAATGAATGGTATGACGATTTTGAGCAAATACATATATGTATACAATGCAGGAAAACGGAGAAAAACAATTTTTTAATCGGTCTCAATGAAATTTCAATTAACTTGGTTTCCAGCAGTGTATAGATATTTGAAATTGCAGATGATGATCTAATTCATTTGAATGAATACACAGCTATTACCTGTGCTGCTTGATCATATCCGTAACCCAAGAAACAAGATCTTGACCGGCTGGTCAACCAGATCCTGTTACAGGTCGATTGACTTCAAGGCACGCGAAGTTGTACCTCGCTGAAAAATAAAATCTCCAAATTAGTAAATCATTAACAAAACAGACAGCTTAAATTATTTTCTTTTTAATATTTAAAATGGAACATTAAAAACTGAGGTAGAACATGACAAGTTTTGGACTAATAATATAACTTGCTTTTATGTGGATGACATTTTTTCCCACAAATATACACTTATTTTCCTCTGATCTATGGAGTACTTTCATGCAAATGCTTTATCATTTACCAAAGTTCTTTAATCTCAACATATTTACATTTCAAAATCCTAATATGTACTCTTGATGTTTGATTATTCTAGAATAAAACATAAAATAAAGATAGTTCATTATAGGAAGAGCTGTGTGCGCGAGCACTGCTTCAGTTTTTCAGGAGATAAAAGTTTCATTTTTTAACTTCAGAGAGCATTTCTTTCAATTGATGATTTTCGTGTTTTAATTTTACATTCTCTTGTAGCAATTTTGATAAATATCCCTGTCCACTTATGTTGTTTCCTAACGTGGAATCGTTATCCCCAAAGAAACTTCGGTCACTACTGGACTGTTCAAGTTCTTTTTCAAGTTGTTCCGATTTTTCGGCCATTACTAACACTCTTTTTAACAGTTCTTCTTTCGACAGATTTGAAATTTCGTCCATTTGAGCGTTTCTCATGACACTTTCGAAATCCTGTTCCATAAATGCTACCGTATCCGTTGTAGCCATACCAAAATCCATAATTTCGGAGTCTCTGAACAATGTATCCAAACCATAATCACTACAACTGTTTGGCGAATACCCCAGTTCATGTAGTGTTTTAGATGTATCACAGGAATACTCTGGTGAATCAAAATTATCGTAAAAACTCTGATCTTTTAAGTGTCCATCCATTATAAACTGCGTAGAATTGTGTGGCGCTTTAAGACTGTATCTTGGTCGGTGTATTTGGCGGGTTTTCTTGCGACGCGTATCTTTTAAGCATTTCGCGTCTGTCCGATTACAAATATCTATTGACTCGTTCATACAATATCGACAGGAGGAAAACCCACAATCAATATGACACGACTCATCTGAATACTTCGCCGGAAATTTCTCGATTGATCCAAATTCTTTCTTCTTTTTCCCTCTTCGTGTTTTTCGTTTTTTCATAGCAATTCTTGTCTGCCTTTCAACCATTCTTTCTACTGATGATTGTGTGCTAGATTCAAAACCAATCATTTTTCTTGATAGGTAATTTATCATAACCTTCGAAACAACGTCTATGTAAAGTATTTCTTACTTGCGTCTCACCAACCTTCCTCCTTCCTCGTGAGTCTGTCGTTAATACGACGACAAGCGTTGTTTTGCTGTTTTATACGCCCAAGTCACGTGGCTGTTTCGTTGTCTCGACGTCAAATTTCGTCATAGCACCGAAATAGTCACCCGACCTAATGTTTGAACCGAAGGCACATAATCACCAGCATTTACAAGCGTCTGAACGATAGTTTGATGTCGTGTTTTCATAACTCAGTGAAAAATACAATATTTCGAAAATCTAGTATATTTCAGTTTTATATATCATAAAAATACGAAGCAGATAACTTAAAATAAAGTTATTGATATAATATCTTAGTTAATACCTTATTAGTTTCGGTTTATTTCCGTCGTTAGAAACGAGGCAATATCTATTTTTAGCTCAGAATGTGATTGCCTTGTGCAAGAATCCATTCAAGGCTACCATGCTGTCGAGGTCCAACGTTTCTTCTCAAATTCAAACACCATATTACCTTTTCGATTTTCATATACGAAAATCTATGTGTCTAAAACATTTATTAGATTGTGAAATTAGAAGAAATTATCGAGAATAATGCCGAAGGGAAAGAAGAAAGGTAAGCCGATTTAGGACCATATGTGTCACAACAACACGTGAACTTTTTACATTCACGCATGATTACTACGTAAATACGTCACTATCTGTATTTCACTTGTGTGGATGTTTAAATTTTGTCTGAAGATTTTGAATCGTGTTATCTTAAATGTATATTTACATAAAAATAAAACCCCTACTTTTAGACTATAAAGATATGTCATTGACAACTCCCGCCTTTTCTATAAAGAGCACATGTTTACTTATTTGGCATGATGACAACTAATTCAAATGACATCTTGAATCAACTATATTGATCATCCAAGATATTGGTTATATTACAGGACCTAGGTAATTTCTCAACAGGAAGCGAAGTCATACCCTGGAAATTTTTGATGCCTTGTTAGTCATAGTTTTGTGATGGCTAGCATTATAAATGATTTATTACATAAGTTGTAATGTAAGTGTTTAGGTCTCTGTTTAGTAATATAAGAATTTAATAACGAAAGATGGGACTTTGTATCTATGACCCCACATTAATGATGTTGGTGGTCCATGCGGTAGTAATCAGATTACCTAAAGTTCTGTTTCAAAGATTATTTGTAGCATTTGCACTCAAACTTTTCCCAATGTTTATAACAATACGCTGTTTCATATTGTATCACAATACTTTCTTGTGTATCATATCAATTTGTTTGTTTACCAGTATCATGATACACTAAAAGTACCTAAATATATATTCAGTAAAGTTTTATCAAACTCTGAAAAGTAGACTGATATTGTCCAATCATTCAGCAAATTGTTGTGCAGTCATACTTAGAATGTACTAGAAGTCAAATAGATTGTATTTACTATTGAAATATATGGCTTCACTAAATAACTTGTGTGTACACCTATATAGTGATGTGAATGGAATCATAATACTGTGATACGTACCATATTGTAAGCTATGTATAAATACAAATATTTCAAATTTGATGCTGTGACCTTGAACTGTAGTAGAGAGACTTCTCATAATTTCAACTTATAATGCCCCATTGTGTCAAAACAAAATATTTACCAGAAAATCTTTCAACTTTGACCTTGTCCTTAAACCTAAAATATTCATACAGAAAATCTTTCAAATTTCACTTTGAACTGCAGTAGGTTGTCTTCTCATTTGATTTCTGTCAATAAAAAAACTTTGATATCAATGTAAAACTTGGGTTTAGTCTGTTTCTGTTATGTTTTGGTAATTTTAAAACAAAAGACATTAAAGTTATTTACAGTTTCAACTGAAATATGATCCAGTATTGTATACCACTTTGATTTCCAAATAGAATGAAGATTGTTTCTAAATAAACTGCATTAAAAAAGCTGGTTTATTTTCATATAATTCTCGTAATGAATTATTTCAATTTCTTTTTTTATGAAAATGAGTTTTACTTCTCATTGTTTGGCAAAATGGCTCAGGTAAGACTGGTCAGTGCTTAGACAACACTTACTACAGGCTAGAATGAAATAAGGCACAGGTAGATAAGATTAGATAACAACAATGGGAAGACTGGGGCTTCTATGACTTTACGACTAGGTGAACAAACATAGAAGCTAAATCCAGCCAAGCCTCCACTGGTTGGGCATTGTTTCTAGTCTCTGCATGTTCCTGGCTTAGCTAATTTCCTGCGAATGCCTTTGGTGGGAATTCCTGTTCAGTACACTGACCCTTTCCCAATTGAAGACTGACACTGTATTTTCCCAGTTTTGGTCTGTCATAGTCTTGTCAACATTTATGATATGTATTCTACAAAAGAGAGAATGAATGAAATCTACTGCAATAAAACTTAACAACCCCCTTAAACAAGCCGCAAATTGATAGAAATGTTTAAACGAAGCTTCAGATTTCATTTTGTGTCCAGAGATAGAGGGCTTAGAGGGTATTGAGGATACATCAATTTAGACATTTTTTTTTCAGACCTAAAGACTAACAGAAATACACCAATTTTCATGTTAAGTAAAGGTTACATGAATAGTTCACTTACTATTGTTATTCTGTTTGAGATATTGAAATATTAGGGCAAATGAAAAACGTCGCAGTTTACCATGATGGAAATGTAATAATCAGGACAGGTTCCAGAGTTTGCAAAAAATCATTTTAAGTCGAATAACCCCATTGGGTCTAAAGGGTGGGCGCCAAAGAGGAAGTTTGACAGTAATTTACTTCCAAATACTACTCTTCCTTAATGCTTGAATAGATTTCAAATTTTGTCTAAAACATCATTAAGAGTGGGCAATGAATTCTTGAATTCAGAAAAGTGGACTTAGGGGTCGCTACTCCTTCTTAATTCCTTTGTGGATCTCAATCAGATTTGGTCTGTGATATCAAACATACTTGAAGTGATGAGGTTTTCCTGATCAAATCTTAATTTATGGTTTGGTCCAAAATCCAACATAACTCAACTTCAACAAATAGTCTCACCTACTTCTTGAGTTGTTAGACTTTGACCTGGTAGCCACAATAGCTTTAACATGATTGCACAGCTGTTCTTCATGAACAAAACTTACTATTTATGAATTTCTGATACTTTCTAGGAACATTTGAAATTTGAATTCATCAGATTTGTTAGATAACCAAATTTTGCAGCATGTCTGTCCATCCATCAATTGTCACATTTATTTGTTCTTTTCCTTTCCGTTTAGATATCTCTTCTTGTTTTTTATGACTTGCTTTTTCTTATTGTTAGATTTCTTTGTTAACTAGTCCTAATACAACATAGTAATAAATTATATGAAGATGATCTCTTTTCTGCATACATTCATTTTTTCCCAATTTTTCATAGACGCTAAATGTAAACCACATGTAAAATGGTAGTAACAAAAACTCTTGAATAAAGAACATAAGAGACAGCAAAAAAAATTGGTTAAAAAAAAAATCCTATAAATAGCTATATTTTAAAATAATACACAATGATCCTGCCCCCTTTGTAACCATTTTTGCATTTTTTTGTTTCAGGAGGGAAGGGAAGAGTATCCCAGCCACCAAGTGATGATGAGTATGATACTGCTGATAACGTCAGTACAGTCAGTGTCCAGTCTGAGGAACGCACTAGCATTCCAGAAGAAGGTACTTTTTTAACATGTCAATTTCAACATTTCTTTCTCAATCCAGTAGTGTTTTCATCTTGTCTTATTGAGATAATGTTTTGTCTCTTTCTATTGTTATTTTGTCTCTTTCACTATTGCAATGGTATATTGTCTTGTTCATCAGTAATACATTTGCATTTGGTATATGGTGGTCCAAAATTTCTTTTCAAATGATCAAAAAAATCTTTTTAGCTTTATAATTGTGTTTTCTTCTTTCAGATGGTGTGGATGAAGCAAGTGCTCAAGAAAACTTTGAAGACAAGCTGAAGGAATGTATAGAAGGAATTCTACAGAAAAGGTATATAATTAATTATATTTACAAGTCAGTTGATAGAGTTTGAAGTTCCTTACCCACGATGGTTTATGTTCCTAAGGAAGCTGGGATAAGGACAGATCTGTGATGTCGTGGTTGTGTTCTAGGGCAAGACGCTTTTCCCTTATTGCCCTAGGTGGAATGTGAAAGGCCTACTTTATGTTGTTAGTGAATAAGATCCAGCCTACTAAAAGAAGAATGTCCACCTCGATTTGGCTTTGGCTGTTTACAGGTTTATAAAACAAAACAACAGCAGATTATTAAGGCAGTCAAGAAATACTGTAAATATTCATAGTTTTATTAAACATATTTTTTTTGCCATTTCCAAAGTGCAAACTTACATATAAAAACTTCTTAGATGAATATTGAAACCAATGTTCCCTGGACTTTTCAGTGCCCAGGGGAGAAAATCTTGTCTGGAGGGGTTGACTAAAGCACTAAGCAAAAAATGCATTGCAGAGTTCCTTCTTGACAGGTATTGTATACTTTTGAATTTAACAAAAATTAATTTGAAGAAATCAAATTGCAAAAATATGTGACATGGGATTTCTCAGGCAGATAAAGTGGTGTAAATTTTATACACTACACAAATGCTCTTTATTTAGAAATGTTGTAATTTGTTCCCAATGCCAATACAAGGAATGTTAACCTTTTTCTATTTTCTCTTGAGCTGTCTGTTTTCCATTCCTCCCCTAGGAGCTGTCACACCTTAAGTTATAATACTTCAGTTGGTTTGTCTATCAACAATGATCACTTTTCTAAGGGCTTGTATCTGGGAAAAAACCACAATGAAATTCTACAAATCCAACTTCATTTTAAATTTTCATACTGATAAGTTTGTCTTTACACACAGGAAAATGACAGTGACTGATTGCCTAGTGAGATGCATAAAGAAAGGAAGAGGTGACGAGCAGGCTCTCGCTGCACAGTGTCTTAGTTTGATGTGCATACAGTTGGGACTTGACATTGAAGAAGAAATCAATACCATTAAGCCACAGCTTATGGCCACTATGACAGACAACAGTGCAGCCGTCAAGGGGAGAGCTGAGGTAAGGAGACAGACATCGTGATGTTTGGCAGCATTTTAACTTCAATTTTCATAGCAATATTCAGTTTATTTCATACGGAATGTTAAATATGAGATGCAGAGGCATTGCAGATATAACTTCAGAAATATTTGCAGTGCTCTTGAATGTGGTAAGGAGAAGGCATTAAAGCCATTGAGTAGGAAACAAAAACATCTTGACAAATGTCTTGGTAAATGTGATGCAGAAAATAATTCAGAGTATAGTTGTTAGATGTAGTGCAGCATAGAAACCCATTGGTTAAAAGTGTACAATATTACTGTCCATAGAGGAAATGATTGGTGATTACTGTTTGATATTTATGATACGTTTAGATAAAGTATGTCTTTAGAATTTTCTGAGGCAAACACAACAACACATTACATGGTGGTGCTTGATCAGCCACTATGCAGTTTATTTTGAATTTTTGTTGATACATAGTCTGTCCTACCCTCTGCTTCCTACTGACTATCTCTGCCTCTTGTCTATACTCGCTTACTTCCGTCCGCTGCCGTTTGCCACTCTCTCCTGTTTTTGAATTACAATGTATACTTAAGATTAATTCTTTTATTTGTAATGCTCTTTTGTGCATATCATTAGTAAGGATCTATCTTTATATTGTTCTTTATTATGTTCACTTTCACACATGCTAGACTGAGAGAGAGAGGGGGGAGGGAGAGAGAGAGAGAGAGAGCACCTATCTGCTCTAATCAATCACACCAACGTTATTTTGCCATGGTGCTTCAATACAGGGGTACACAACCATCCTGTTATCAGGCTTGCAACAACACCTGTCTCTCACGGGGTTGTTTACCTCAGGTCAGGGTTACATGAATTTTTGCCAACGTTACCTGACTTTTGACCGATGTTACCTGACTTTTGACCTAAACTCTGCTCTCTATGATGCCCATCATTTCAAAGTTACCATTACTTACTCATTATTATTCATTGTGTCACACAAAGTTTTGTGACTAGGGACAAGTCATTGTAATACTTGATTCTTTTCTGTTACAGTGTGCGCTGACATTAGGAATTTGTCATTTTCTGGCTTGCAGTGACATTGATGTATGTATAACCAGCATATGACATGAATTAACAATGAATAATTTAATTCCTCTCTGTTGCATACTAAGTTAGTAAGTTTGTGTTTTTCTGCTACTAAAATTCTTATTGAAAGGAGATGTGAAAGTCACAAAAGTCCTGAAGTAAATACTGAAATGTTTGTTACTGTATTGAAGTTGATCCTTGTCATTATTGTTTTTACATTTTATGTGTATTGCTAATATTGTAGGATGTTATGAAGACCATGGATGCATTGGAGAGTATTTTCAAACTGTCATACAGAAAGGGAGATAAAAGCATTCCCAACTTGAATCCTGACTTGTGTCGACTACATGCAACAGCTCTGAGTGCCTGGAGTCTATTACTGTCCATTGCTCCGTCATTTCTAGTCAACAAACTTGTGGAAAGGTATACCAGCAATGCTAATAATTATTGATCTTGCAGGACATTTTCACATGTGCTTAGAACACACAGGTTTAATGTTAGAAATTGTAGTTGGGAAACCAGTTGATATTCAGTTTTAGAAACAAATGTTATTTTAATCTTTTGAAACAGCAATTTCCATTGTAATATGGTGTTAAATTACATACATTGTCACTTTTGTCAGTTATGGGCTGTATGTCTCTCATAGTGGTCTATTGATTCGAATTTGAATCATTATTGATCCACAGATGATAACAATGAATTAGGATGAGGCATTTTATGAATGCCATCATTTTCAAGGCAAACAATGGCAAGTCAGTTATATACTTTTTCGTATTAAGGGTGCATTGCAGGTGAATTGTTACAGTTGAATTAACACACTCTGTCTCTTGTGCAAAGCTAATTTACTTACATTTATTGATCATACTCAAGGAAATCTAGCAATTCAAAAAGACTGACAGAACAAAGATAGTTTTCTTGTCATATCAAATAATTATGAATTTTAGTGTACTTACATAGAGAAAAACAAGTTTCATGAAAATTCAACAAGTTTCTTAAAAAAGTAAATTAAGGAAGGTAATGCACACTGGTATAGATTAAGTTGTCTCCCTTCCTATATTCTCCTATCAAATTTTGTTAGTCAGAAATATGTTTTATGACAAAATATATTTTAGATTGATAGCCATTTAAACCTGATGTATTTTTACAGTCATATAGGAAAGCTTCCTGACCTACTACTTAGTAAAGATGTAGAACTGAGAATAACTGCTGGGGAAACAATCGCACTTATGTATGAACTGGCTCGAGAAGAAGATGATGTAAGTAAAGCAACTGTTGTTTATTAGAACATCCAACATTGTAATCAAAATGTGACGTGAAGAATAGACTTTGAGACCTTAAAAACTACCGTAAATATTCGCGTATAGTGCACACTCGCGTATAGTGCGCAGGTACTTTTTGGAGATCAGATTTAAAAAAAAAAAAATCTACAGAAAAATTAATTGACTGGTCCCTGCAACGAAACATTTGATGTGGTCTGATCCATTGATAATTAGGAAACCACAATGAGCGTGACCCTAACACCTGTAATTACCTTAAGTAAACAAATTTACCCAGGTGACCTAACAAGCATGAAAGGCTTGGCTGATTGTATAATTAACGGTTAATGACAGTTAACACGTTGAGTATGAGGAGACTGATGACACCCGGCTTGGGCTGAACGCGTATTATTGGTCAGAAAACGATGTTGTTTTAACTGTCTGAACATTTTCAATCCTACCTTGTCCCCATAAAAGCAGGTGGTTTGTTCAGTATAGGCATGATCTTTCATGGTATCTGTACCCACCGCGGTATCCGAAGGTATTTTATGATAGATTGTTTACACCGACTTCGACATGGGGAAACTGCGAACGCCATTTGACTACGCCGAGAGACTGGAGTTTCGTGCCGCCGGTCGCCACTTCAACATTCCAGAGTGAAATATCAAGGCACGGAAGAAAGAAAAGACTGTTTAAAGTCCCAACCACTGACCAGAAGGGCTGACATAGGTGCGACAGCGAAACACCCAGAGATGGAGAGAGAGAGAGCTGTTCAACTTTGTATGCGATCGCCGATATCCCGGCATCGCTGCCAGTACAACAGAACTGCGCGTGTGGGCCATGCAGATCAAGAGAGGTCATGGGGTCACCAACTTTGGGCATCGGTGGGATGGGCTGTCCGATTTATGAACAGAACGACAATCGCCTAAAAACTTCCGGATTCAGTGAATTCCACAGATACATCATCAAAATGACAGGAAACGAAAAAAAAAAATTAGATTCACCGTAATGCTAGCGTGAATGGCAGATGATTAAAACATTTTATTTTTTTGTTGTTTTTATCTCCAAACTATCATATAAGACCGACGACTTTTACATATAACTATGTGAAGGGAGGTAATCCAATATGGCGGATGCATAATGATAACCCCCGGAATGGCATGTACCTGCGTATAGTGCGCACCCCCTTTTTGACACGACAGTTTCAGCTTAAAAAAGTGCGCACTATACGCGAATATTTACGGTATGCATACATGTCCAATGTTGATGAAGGAAATTGACTATAAAACCAGACATGTCCACAGCAGATTTTCATCTTGCTGAGGAATTTGGTTCTGACTTGACTTCTGTCATTAGAAATCAAGATCGATTTTTTTTTTTTCTGACGTAGTTCAACAAGCTTTATGGATATGAATTTGGAACATATCTTAAAATCTTCAGTCAATCAGAGAACTTTACTAAATTTACAGTTAAGATTAATATGCATTTACAGCTATTTCTGGATTTTGTTGGTTAAAGTATTTTCTGCAACAATTCCATAACAGTCCCATTTTGTGTTTTAGGAGTTTGAAGGGGACGATATAGATGAATTGATCGACACATTGAAGACACTTGCCACCGACTCGCAGAAATATAGGGCCAAGAAAGAGAGACGTCAACAACGCTCTAGCTTTAGGGATATTCTCCGAACTGTGGAGGTAAGATCATTTTAACATTAAAGACATCTAATTTTTCTTATGATGATAAAAATAATGCGAAAAGTTGAGATGTTTCACCACTGCAAACTGTTTCAAGGTATATTATCAAATACAACAATATATATGTTTGCAATAGAACAGGGAAAAACACACTCCAATTGAGTACCTTGACAGGAATCAAACTGAGCAAAAGAAACATGCTCTGTCAGCTGAGTGACAGAAATTGTAATTAACACTATGTACAAGAAACACTGACTTGTTCCCTTTACATATTAATAGAATGTTGACAGTGTTTTTACCTTCATATTCCACTGCCATAAGTATGATGTCCTATATCCAAAAACTATGCTATTTTCCTTTAAGAAAGAAAAAATGAAATAATGTCTTACTAATTTAAAAGAGAACATTACTTTTCCCTCCAATTAATCCACAAGCTGATGTATAATGTAGGTAGTTTAAAAAACTGGTATGAATATAAATGGATTTCTAAGAAGTTATATAAAATGCTGTACATATGTCTTTATGAAAATCTCTGATATGGACACATCATTACACTTTAGTACTTAAAAAAGTAAAAATGCATTTCAGATTAAACTTTCAATTCAATTACATAACTACTTACCAATCACACATCATTTTCTTTTTTTAGCCCACCATCTAATAGATGGTGGGTTATTCAAATTGCCCTGCGTCCATCGTCCGTCCGTCCGTAAACAATTCTTGTTACCGCTATTTCTGGAAAAGTACTGGATGGATCTTTCTCAAATTTCATATGCAGGTTCCCCTTGGTCCCTAGTTGTGCATTGTACCTTTTTTGGACTGATTCGAATTCAAGATGGCCGACAGGCAGCCATCTTGGATTTTGGAAGCAAAAGTTTGTTACTGCTATTTCTTGGAAAGTACTGGATGGATCTTTCTCAAATTTCATATGCAGTTTCCCCTTGGTCCCTAGTTGTGCATTGTACCTTTTTTGGACTGATTCGAATTCAAGATGGCACACAGGTGGCCATCTTGGATTTTAAATGTAAAAGTTTGTTACTGCTATTTCTTGGAAAGTACTGGATGGATCTTTCTCAAATTTCATATGCAGTTTCCCCTTGGTCCCTAGTTGTGCATTGTACCTTTTTTGGACTGATTCGAATTCAAGATTGCAGACAGGTGGCCATCTTGGATTTTAAATGTAAAAGTTTGTTACTGCTATTTCTTGGAAAGTACTGGATGGATCTTTCTCAAATTTCATATGCAGTTTCCCCTTGGTCCCTAGTTGTGCATTGTACATTTTTTGGACTGATTCAAATTCAAGATGGCAGACAGGTGGCCATCTTGGATTTTGAATGTAAAAGTTTGTTACTGCTATTTCTTGGAAAGTACTGGATGGATCTTTCTCAAATTTCATATGCAGGTTCCCTTTGGTTCCAAGTTGTGCATTATACCTTTTTGGACAGATCCGAAATCAAGATGGCTGACAGGCAGCCTTCTTGGATTTTGAGAGTAAAATCTTGTTACTGCTATATCTGTGGAAGTACTGGATGGATCCTTCTGATATTTCATAGGTATTGGTTTCCCTTGGTCCCTAGTTGTGCATTGTACCTTTTTGGACTGATTTGAAATCAAGGTGGCCCACAGGCAGCCATCTTGGATGTCAACAGTAATACAGCACAAGCATATTGTCCATTATCCACCTGTAACTGACTGCTATCTAATAATACTTTGGGATCTTTTTCAAATGATATTTGCTAATAGGTGCTTAATAAAAATATCTTGTGCCATCATTGAGTACATTCAGTGAAGACCAGTTCATGAACATTTACAACACCTGTAACAAACAAAAAAAAATAAACAAATCTTCAAGAACTGAAAACAGATCCTCAAATGGTGGGTGCCAAGATCCCTCTGGGATCTCTTGTTTACTTTATTATTTAAACCATGAAACTCTGTTCTTTTAAAACAAATTTGTACATGATTGAATATAACTGCTTAGCTTAATTTATGCCATTTGTTATCCTGCTTTTTACAGATGGGAGACTCACCCGAAAATTGTGTGAAATTTGGAAAGGAGAATTTCTTGATTGACTCCTGGGTAAAACAAAACCAATATGATGCTTTGTGCTTAGCACTTACTTCAGGAATCTACCAACACCTACAGGTACAAGCATTGTTCGGTGTATGTCACTTCTTGGCTAAATAACTACCCTAGCCTATACAATTACTATCAGTTTCATTCTTAAAGAGGTCTGAGAATTCCTGTTTGATTTTATACCAGGTTCAATCATGAATGGACAGCAACAACATTGTGGAATATGTGGAAGTAATATATGTATCAGACTAGGTTGTAAAACGTTTTTACATTATTTTTGTGTTTGTTTTAGGATAATATCCTTATACGAGAAGTGTTTGGTCTAGGCGAACCTCTTCTCCCCACAGCTCCTGGTTCCTCATCTAAACCAACAAAGTGGGAAAGAGTAAGTTCTTTGATAGTGTGTTTTATTGCAATTCCAGCAAATGATATTACATCAGTGAGTCATGATTCTTCCTATTGCTTGTCTGTCAAGTAAAACATCTTTTCTACTTTAGACATCCCGATTTGGTCAGTACCATCTCAAATTAAATCTTAAATGCAGATATCAGAGTTATCTGTTTGTATGTTAGCATTTGTAAGTTATAGTTAATAGATTATCTCTTCAAATAAGTGCAGATATCAACAGCCATATAAAATATTCTTTCGGATATTAATTTTAAGATACCTTCAAAGTAATCTTTACAACACAAACATGGCAATATTGAAGATTGCTGTGTAAGTTTTGATGTTTGGCTTTAGATTCAGTTTGCTGTAGACAGATTGTTAAGAGATGTATTGATTAGGTATTTAGAAATTTAATTGTGTCTTAAATTGCAGGCAGTGTTTTAAATCAGTAAAATGGATGTGAAAACAAATTGGTACCTATTTATTTCTAGGCTCACTACAATGCTGCTGTATTTAAGGCCAGGACAAAAGTGAGGTCCAAACACAGAGACAAGCGAACTGTGATGATTAACGGAAATTAACCAGACATCTCTGCTGTGTACGACTGTGAGACTGACTGATTATTTATGTATAAATGTACAGACTAAAATCTCGCTAATAATTGTAATGTTAGGCCTATCCTCTCAACTAGTGCTCTGCTGACCATAACAAAACAGAAGGTTTTATATGATCAGCAGTCAGAACAGGTACAAAAGGCCGTGATTTCTAATCAGATTGTAAATATTAATATCTTTATTATTTGTATATGATGAAATGAAAGTTGAATGTATACTGTGTTATAATGTAAGTGTGATTTTATGAAGGTTTTAAAGTGCTAGTGAGAAATTAAGAATACTTTTGAATTGTGGATTATTATGTATCCCCATTAGTTTGTGGAGAAGATGATTTGCTGGATCATTCATCATTTGTGTACCTTGTGGTAATTTTTAACACATTTTTGTTACCTTTTTGATTGTATGCTGTACTCAATGCAATCAATGGTTAGTGCTTTTTACACCAGTTCTAGCTCCATGTTTAGTTGAGGGATGAGTTGTATTGTTTGTTGTAAAGAAAACGAGATAAATTCTGACTATCAAATTAAAACCTGTTTTCTGTCGAGACTTGACGATGTTAACCAATATCTTATTGAAGTTTTGATAAAGATAATCAATGAATGAATCGAATATTTCTGTTTAAAAAAAATTATACAAAATGTTTTTATCAACACCAGGCATTGTTTTATATATTAACAAAGGAAAAGAAAGCTGAAAAATCAATAAACAGTTTACCGGGATACAAGTGAACATGAAAACCTTTAAAACTAAGGTATTTTCTTGAAATTTGAATGTAGAGAGCTAGTGACAACTGTGTTGGTAGTTGTGATATTATCATAATGTGTATTTACAATATAAAGATATACTTTTTACTCTGTTGTTGTGGTAATTTCATCGGTTCAGGAGAAACAGACTTACGCTCATCACAATTGAAAAGACTATGAAATATCATTTTACGGTGGAGGCGTTATATTAATCTGATAATGAGCTTTTATCAAGAGTTCAGGAAATCTTGTATATTTATTGTAAACAAAATTTATAAAATGTCATAAAGGCACAACTAAGGATTAGATGTTGATCTCTTAATCCATTTACAGATTTTACCTTCAACCATGACAAAAAGGATGAAAAGTTGGATTTTTGTCTGACTCATCCATTCTGAAATAACGGCAATGGTTTTGGGATATTAAGGGCCTTTCAGGGGATGCATTTAAGTGAAAACGCTATTGTTACATGACAGGGAGCTTATGCCCGCCATTTTCAAACCAATTCCGGATTAGGTGTGGATGTAGAGAGATAGTTTTGTAGCTGTTTAGACACAGGGGTACTTCACAGATGATATATCTCCACTTATTTATATATAACTCCATTTACATTTGTTAAGAGTTTTGATTGAATATATGAAAATTGTGTGAATTCAAGAATGTTTGCTTTTGATAATTTTGCTTCTAGGGTAAAAAAAAAAAACAAGATGGGATTTAATTCTTATTTATGGTGATGCAGTCTTGACTGTTTGTGTATGCGAGATAGTCAGAAAATAAAGTTTATGTTGAGAACATTTTGGTTTTTGTAGGATTTACAACACCATTACAAACTGCCATGTCTAATTATTTGATGTTTACTGTTTGTGTGTAAAAATGCAATCCTATCAAGATGAATGGGACATGATTTTTGATATCCGAGTCAAAGTTTGATTTTGAATGTTATGGATTATATCTGAACTTTTACGATGTCTGTGTAAAATCTGCAGATAGGGCATACTCTTGGAAATGTCCTGTATCAGTATGATATTTTTGAAACCGTGTGTAGCTAAGTCTTCACAAATCTGGACTGTATATTACAGACTTCGATAAATAAATAAAAAAAATCTGAAACACATTGATATCTTTTATATGTCAGAGTTCAGTTCATTTATACTGTTCACCATACACTGATAAACTTCATGTTGAAATATGTTTTCCACCCAATGATAAATTATTTGTGATGTCATCAGGTGGTTGGCTGTTCAAATCATCCTTTGTCTTTGGTCTACTTTCTATTTTGGGGCTGATCAGAAAAACAAAACAAAATGGCAGACATCTTGGTTATTGACAATGAAAGTACCAGGTAATTTGTACGAAGAGTACAGATTGAAATATAGCTGAAAAGATCTGTCTGTTTTTCTCCCGTCCTTTATCTATACACCTCAGTGTGGATGTTAAACCTGTTATCAAATAAATACACATTAGTGTACAAATATTTTGTTAATTTTTCAGATGAAAGCATCACAGGGTTATCACCAAGAAGTCGCACATAAATTTCTAATGGTTACCAAAATTTATACTGTCTAAATCTGGTTTACTTCTACATGACTACAATTTGACTCAAAACAACTCAACTTTTTAATGTTTTATTTAAAAAATAGTGTATAAAAAGCCGTGGCATATATAATATCATATATGAAAGTAAAATATCAATGTAAAGTTGGAAATGTTGAAAATGAGGACTTATTTGCAGTGTTAGTTTATGAATCTATCACAAATTGAATTCTGGCAAAATAAATGCTCATCAAGATCTTCAAAACAAGTTTCAATTTATCCCAATAGGAAAACTTACAATGGACTGACCAAATGATCACTGGAAACTTATTATCATCTGCAATGTTGGGGTAAAAATTAGATTGAATTTGAGGGGTTTGTTTTTGGGCCTTCAAGGATTGAACGAAAATCACGAAAACTGATAAATTATTTTTGAAAGAAATAAAAATGGTAAAAACGAAAAAAAAATTGATTCCAGTTTAGGACTTCTGTTCAGAAAACATTATTTTTGCTTCAAGTTTTTATTAAAAACCAAAACATATAACCATCAGAGGGGAAAAAACCTTTACAGTAATTGGTAGCAAGAATGTACATGTGACAGTGTGTAATTACACTTTGTAATCCTAATATTTCTAGTCTTAGCAGGCCACATATCGGTTCATTGAAAACAATATAACACATAATAGTATAATACTGTGTACAATCAATATACTTTAAGTATTTTTGTAACCACCAATATGTCTTGATTGTACATGCATGGTCTTGAATTAACAAGTTTCAAAGAATGAACAACAAACACATTTATGTACATAATTTAAAGTTATACAAAAATATATAGTGTACATTTTGGGCAACTTTGTAGTGCCATTTTCAAATGCCTGTAAACGGGCCATAGCTTGAAACCTGCTTTTTGGTTACCAAGTAACGTAGGATATATATATCAAACTACAATATATATATTGAAGTGTATCTTTACTGATTTTGATCCTACATGACGGATTTAGTCTCCTGAAAAATACGAAAAAGTTAAGCTGCCGATTCATTAGTTGAAAACCTCATTTGCAAGCATGGTTTTTAAGATGCTTTGTCGTTGGAACTTGATACAGTACCCGCTTATTATAAACGTCTAAGCATTGAATCTTGTCATTGTCGATTTCATGAGGTGATGAATCAAGTTGTTCTTGAGAAAAAATTAATGAATTGCTCTCCACAGTTCAATGTTGATTATTTTTTCTGAAGAGCAACTCCGTTAATCAGAGCAGTTCGTGCTGCCTTGGTCTCTAGAGCAACTGAATTCTTTACCCCATGAAATTGACAACTGCAAGATTTAAAGAATGCTTATATGTCAATTAAGACGTTTTGTTTTCAATATTTTGAACCAACTGATGTCAGGTGTTACTAGAAGTTTCGCAAGTCTAATGGATTGCGTTAAAAATTTTGTCCGACATTTTAAATTTGAGTATGATTAAACAATAATACTCGTGCATGTATGATTATGCGACACATTAAATAACATAAGTAAATAGTAATCGTTGATTTCGTCAATATATTTTAGAAATTATGAAAATTCTGTGAAAGCTATGCAGAAGAATAGCGTCTATACTGAGTTTTATAGTCATCTCCCACTTTTCAAACTGGGCGACGGCCATTTTAAACTTGTCATAGATGTGTGTTGTGACCTTTCTCAGTTATCTAAGTATGGATGGCATAAAGAACTTTGTCAAGAAGCACTTCTGTGTCCAAATCGCCTAGTGGACGCTCGTGATCTTGTTAGAGATTTTCATTTCAGGCAAGATGAAGCAAGGCCTCAAGCAGATATCAAAACATGGAAAACAATTCTGTTCTGCTATAAATTACCATAATGTCATGTTTTGATATATTTAACACTTATTGTATGTTAATTTATCACTTTATACTCTGCAAATCTGCAGCAAATTTGATTTCTTTTATTTAAAGTTGAGCATCAATTATATGTATGGGTTTCCCTCTCCCGTCCCCCTTTACAGGTTCTGTAAAGGATGTGTTCTAACAAGGTCAATGTTAATCTGGACATATGAAACTGGCTAAAATTGGTGTTTCATAGAGCCCAAATTGAGTAGAAACTTAGATATTCCACAATGATGATCAGATCTTTAAACTGTTTTTAGCAGGGAAGCATTAGGGAATGATTCAAGATCATACCAAACAAGAGGTTAATGTCTAATATGAATAAGATGGTCGCACATTGTCTCAAGCTCCATGGTAACCAGTGAGGGCATCACAAGATAATTCTGTGTTTGTGTCTTTATGTAAAGTTACATACAAGGTACCTATATAGCTATGTAGGAATACACTTTTTATACAATGATGTGCTTAAGTATTGTCAAAATATTAAGGCAAGAATTCGTTCTTGTGGGAATATTTGATAACGTACAGTTTTCATAACAAAAATACATTATAAGTTTTAGCTGCTGGTATCATATCGCTTTGATTATTTGCATTTTCACCAGGTTACAATCCACAAATCCTTATACCTTCATGTTAATATCTGGACATAAATCTGAACAGTTGTATATTATGTCATTTCAAAATCAGAAAAAAAAATGAATGCATTAATATATTTTATCCATTGGATCTGGGTGTACATATAGGTATATTTGCCTCTACGCCTTTAGAAACATTGAAACAGTTACATGCTCCTGCGTATTGTTAAGGATCTTATATTTGGAACCAAGAAATCGGCTATCCTTGGGCCATTGTTTTTGTCTAATAAATAGGGTATCAATGGGCCATTGTTTTTGTCTTGTAAATCGGCTATCCTTGGGCCATTGTTTTTGTCTACTAAATCGGGTATCAATGGGCCATTGTTTTTGTCTTGTAAATCGGCTATCCTTGGGCCATTGTTTTTGTCTACTAAATCGGGTATCAATGGGCCATTGTTTTTGTCTTGTAAATCGGCTATCCTTGGGCCATTGTTTTTGTCTAATAAATCGGGTATCCATGGGCCATTGTTTTTGTCTTGTAAATCGGCTATCCTTGGGCCATTGTTTTTGTCCTATAAATCGGCTATCCTTGGGCCATTGTTTTTGTCCTGTAAATCGGCTATCAATGGGCCATTGTTTTTGTCCTATAAATCGGCTATCCATGGGCCATCGTTTTTGTCCTTTAAATCGGCTATCCTTTGGCCATTGTTTTTATCTGATAAATCGGCTATCAATGGGCAATTGTTTTTGTCCTATAAATCGGCTTTCCTTGGGTCATTGTTTTTGTCCTATAAATCGGCTATCCTTGGGTCATTGTTTTTGTCCTTTAAATCGGCTATCCTTTGGCCATTGTTTTTATCTGATAAATCGGCTATCCATGGGCAATTGTTTTTGTCCTATAAATCGGCTTTCCTTGGGTCATTTTTTTGTCCTATAAATCGGCTATCCTTTGGCCATTGTTTTTATCTGATAAATCGGCTATCAATGGGCAATTGTTTTTGTCCTATAAATCGGCTATCCATGGGCCATTGTTTTTGTCCTGATTTACTTTCCTCAATCACGTTTGCACTGCTTAAGCTGTCAATTACACCAAGTAAATATAAGTCAATTAGGGAGTTGACATCGACTTGAAATTGTACTCTCTTCATATCTTTGAATGACCCTTGGGTACAAAGGTCATGATGTCATGGTCGCACTTTCAAGGTCAACGGTTACGTCACATATGCTGTGTTCCTCATTCTCGCTTTCTTTTAGCAGGCGTTTGATTTCTTTGATAAGGTCGCGGAATGTCGGGCGCTTAGAGGGGTTAAACTCCCAACAACACACCATTATCTGAAAACTACACAAACAGTTTCTTTGTTAATATCTCGTTACATTATCAATATAAATTTACTTAAATGATTAAGTTTCTTACAGATTCTTTCAATCACTGGAAAAATGAATGTACCGGACTCATTTCAATCTAAATCCGTTTTGTCTCGACTTGTGCATGATTCTTATACCGATCTTGAAAACTAATAACGATGAAAATTGACATAGATACAGACATCTATAAATAAGTTATCTTAACCCCAAAAAAGCGATTTTGAAATGCCGTAAGTTAAATTTCATTGTGGATTTATTCATATGTCAATAATTCAGAAATAGATCTGGTTTGAAGAGGACGATGTCTTGTGTTATATCTGTTACAACATAGCTTACAGCCTTGGTGGACAAAAAGGGGTCTTCGGTAGACGTCGTCCTTCCTTTAGGTATGTGTACATGTCCCAGTTATCTACAGCGGGATAGGGGTTGGCTCCTCGGGTGATCAGCTCCCACAGAACAACACCAAATGACCACTGCCAAGGGGGGATTTAACGAATTACACTTATTATTTCAAAATATTTAAACTTAATTAATTTTTTATGATTTTGATATTTCATTTCAGCACTGACATATTGCCTATAAACATGTTTTGAAGATGAGATATATTGTATTTGTTAGTTATTTACATCGCACTGATATCAATATATTCTTTTTTCAAAATAATGGCACATTTCATTTCAGATCTGTGGATTACTTATATACACAGTACTGACAACACTCATTGTTTGTTTCATACTAAAAGGAAACAGGCTATATAAAACTATCGCTATGGTTTATGGTTTCAGTTCTGAAATTTATTTATGAATTTGTCATCGAAATCACGCCACAATCTCCAAGACAGGACTTTGTGTAAAAATGGCTGTTGAAAGTTTAGATTTTAAGCATGCCTCTGTTTGGGTGTGTTGTGAATGTATTATATTAGGACAACTTACCACGTCAGACTTGGAAGAGTATTTCCCCTTCTCAAGGCTCTCTGGAGCCATCCACTTAACGGGAAGCTTTTTCTTGTTGTCACTACTGTAATAATGGTTGGAGTAGATATCCCTAGATAATCCAAAGTCAGCTACTCTCGCAAAAAAATTCTCATCCAGCCTGAAGTAAAGTAGCATATTCATTATCACTTTGTTCTGAAACCGAAAAGGTTTACTTTTAAATACTGTAAAAGTTGTGATATTGAATACTGTAAAAGTTATATTGAATACTGTAAAAGTTAGATTGAAAACTGTAAAAGTTATATTGAATTCTATAAGTTATATACCATAAATTTATATGGAATATTATAAAGTTTATGTGATATTGAATATTGTGAAAGTTATATTGAATAGTGTAAAGATTTGATTGAATTCTTTAAAAGTATATCGAATATTGTGAAAATATTGAATACTGTAAAAGTTATATTGAATTCTGTGAAAGTATATAGAGTATTAAGAAAATGTTGAATACTGTTAAAGTTATATTAAATTGAATATCATGAAATTCATATGGAAAACTGTAAAGCTGATGTGATATTGAATACTGTAAAAGGTCAGTTGAATACAGTAAAAGTTTATTTTTTCCGTGGCCCAAATGTTCATATTTTCAAGTCACATGTATTTGTCACGGACGTTTTGAAATGGACAATAGTTCAATCCTGCACATTGGCAATAGGAAAACATATTCCTTGTTATAAACAACATTCACTGACAGTTGATATTGGTTATTTGATATATTTTGATGAAGAGCTATTGATTTATTCAAATAATTGACCTTGACCTATATTCAAGATCTCTTTGGTTAAGTGAGTTGAGATCTTGAAATTTCGTTTTTTTTGACAATCAATAAGGTTCAGAGTTATGACATTTGTGTAGTGGCATGTATAAAGTATATGATTTCGAGTTTGCAGATTTTTTTTACAAACCAACAATTCCCTTTGTAAGCAGTTGAGCAATTTAGGCCTATTTGGCCTCTTTCATATATGAGTCTTTATAGTCAGATGACCGTTAAGACCCATGGGCCTCTTGTTTTGGTTGTACTGCTGTCTTCATAATGTCCATGAGCTGAGCAATGTACTAAACTTTCATCCATCGTTTTAACAATTAATTTGATATTGAATACTTACATGCAGTTCCTTGCAGCTAAGTCTCGATGAACGAATTTGATAGAGGACAGGTACTCCATTCCTTTAGCAATATCTAGTCCAAAAAAGACTAAGTCCTTCACAAGAGGCATCTGAAGGGAAAAAAACTTAATGATGAATAAGACTCTTTGATAGATATTTAATAAATCGTGAACATTCCGTTTCCGCCAAAATTTACAGACTAAGTATGATTACAAAGTAACAAGGTACATGTACTAGATTAAGTTTTTAATCACAAGTGATCAATATGGTGTTTACAAACATGCATACCTGACCGTGTAGGAAAAAAATAGAACGTAAATATTTTACTTTATCTCATTATGAAATACATCTTTAAAACATCAGAAATGATCACTGATGATAAATTAAGGGCTTAAACCACAAAGAGAGTCATTAAATAGCGAATATTGAGTTTTGTATTGGGTTCAGTTCATAGAAAATAACGATTAAATCACCATAGTAGCTTTATTCTTTCTTCCTAAATGTCTTGACTTTACAATTCTGTTCTCCGTTTTTAGCAGGTGTTGATCATACCTCATTAGTTTGCACAAAAAAGTCTTTTTCTCATAAAATATTATGACGCTACTCTTGCATGCTAATGACATAAGATTCAATATATTCTATTCCGCTGAAATATCAAAAAAAATCATTTTTTGGAACACACTAATGAAAACATCTTTCAACTGAAGTTAATTATATAACTACACTAGTCTTAAATAAGGAATAAAACGGTCTTACATTTCATTTCCTTATTCGAAGACTCTATGAAATTGATCATTTTGTTTACAAAAGTGAGGAAATTCACACCTTCAGGCAATGCATGCTTAAATGTCAAAGTTTTGTAGCGCTTAGTATTATGACTTGCGTTATGTTCATCCCGAATATAAGCCAGTAGGTCTCCGTTCTCCATGAAAGGCAGTATGACCAGCGGGAACTCCCCTTTGTCTATACAAACACCCATCAACGACAGTACATTCGGATGGTTAAAGTCTTTCATTATCAACGCTTCGTTAATAAATTCTCCTATATCCACTTCTTTTGCGGACGATTCTAAATTTTGAGAAATATCAATACATACACCGTATATCGTATACATAGTTAGAGGAAGTGAGAAATTCATTTATACACCGGATAATTATAATCTTTGGTATATAATTATATTTTGGGAAAAAAAACAATACATCAGTACAACAACTGCTAAAATTGATTAATACCGTTATGTTACAATATGAATAACTCGTCATGAACACAATTAGGTCTTTACAATGTCATATTAGACTACAGTAGTAAAAATTTGACGTTGATCCATTCTGTAAAATACTGACTCAAAATCGTTTTGACTGCCACGATTTGCTCCCCCTTTGCTCCAGGACTAGACAGAAATCCTTTGTAAACGCATCCAAACTGACCTAGTAAGACCAAGATTAAGATAAAGTAACTTTCATTTATTTTTTTTAAATATCCTTAATGAACAATACATTTAATATCCTAATAAGTTTAAGGATATTATTTATCAAGCTTTTACGAGTTCAAAATAATAAATCTCGACTGATTCGGTAACGGAAAGAAAAACCTTTCTAGTTTTTGTTTTTTTCGTTTTTTTTTTTTTTTATTTCGTTTTTGTTTTTGTTTGCTTTTTTTGTTTTTCTTTCATTTGTTTTTGTTTGCAAACACTGACAAAAACACAATTTCTTGTTATTCTTTCATGACACAAATTATTGCAACAAGTCGGGATTATATTTACTATTGTGTTACCTACCATGTCCGAGACTCTCTCCCAGAAGTAGATTGTCTCTGCTGACCAACAAATTTTGTTTCTTCAGCATGTCTACTGTTTCTATATCAACGATTAAGTTGGCTGGTTCACCCCCAATAGCTTCATCCTCTTGACCAATATGGATATAATCTGTAACACACTGTTGACATCAGTATCCGTTGTGTCTTCATCGTAGTTTTCGTTTATCTAAAGATGCATCGCTCCATTGCAAAGTGTTACACAATAATACCCATTACTTATGCAAGTGTCTTATTCACATGCAAGCTATATACATATGAGTGCAGTGAAAATTAGTACAGCATTCAACCTTCATAAAATACGCGTATTTTCACGACATTTCAACACAAAATAAATAAAATATTTTATACAGTTGTTATCCCTAGCTCAACCGTGCGGCTCCAACGGGCGTTTGCAATGGTTAGGAAGGTCCCTTCCAGTGAGACAACTTAATGCAGCACTATTTAGATACTATCAGTAAACATTTACGAAACAAATTACTCTACGATGTATCAAACAGATATTTTTCTTTTTTTTGCTTATACTTAGATTTGTAAATGTTAACAACTGAAATGGATTTTTCGTAACATCCATCTAATATATATTACCCGTTTGTAAGTAATTTGATGAATTGTCAGTGTCACATATTTGACAATGATTAGAATATCAATAGACACTACAATCTATTTTTTATAAACGTCGAATGTAATTCAGTCAGACCAATTCCAGAAAAAAGTATAAGGATATTAAGACCATGTGTTTCACAAGAGGAAGCATAATGAAGACAAGCTTGATGGTATACTTACTATTTGGAACCGAGCTAGGTTCGTCTGTCTCGATCCTAATCAGATTTTGAAAGGTCATTGTTCCCTCTATATCAATATTGGTAACATAGTTCCTCTTTTTACGCTTTCTTTTACTTCTTACGATGACACACACTAAGATGAGGATGAGGAAAACTGCGATGATAATACCAACCCATAACCAGTTCTGATAACCAGGAGTAGAGACGATGGCTAGTCTCGTGTGCATTGTGACTTTCAGGTCTCCAAGTTCCATCAGAAACGGACCAACGTTTACCTGAGCAGAGAGTATAACACATCATTCATCGAGAGTTTTATCAACCCCACTTCATGTAATTATGATAATATACATGATTAAAACCAGTATAAGCTTGTTTTGTATAAAGATAATATAAATTATGAACATTTGTGAATAAAAGATTATGAAGACAAATTAAATCAAACAAGACACAAAAAAATCGAGTTTATGTATAGCTAAAGATCAAACAGGTTTTATTTTCTCTACAAAATTTACTTTTTCATGCAAATTCAATGAACTAGAAGTAAGATATCTCAATATCCATAAGGTGGTATTGGCATCAAAAGCAAAGTCTGATTATTAAGTTATATCAGTACTTCTAATGAAACATGCTTATGAATAGTTTTGATGAAGAAACAGAAGTGCTATAAGATTAGTTTTATCACCAACAACTTCACATCAAGACATTTAAAAACTGAATTTCATAGAGACTCCGCTATAACATGATATTAGGGTGACCATATCGCAAACAGGATACACCTTTATACAAATCATTAACGAACATTTATATATTAATACTTGAAATATTAACTAAATGAGAACTTTCAATAGAATTATAGATAATAGTCATATTATGTCATTATTTAACACCGTCTATTCAAATACTTGACAATTTAATGGATGTCGAGACAAACTTCGGTTATAGATAAAGCTATTGTCAAATTTACTTTGACTTGGAACACTCTGTTCTGATTAACATCTAAACCATCCAGGACTGGCAACATGTTGCATACTAGTCTGTCACTCTCTAACTCCAAAACAGGGCAGCTTAGTCCTTCAACAGATACGTTGTAATCACTGATCCCAAATGCCATGTTTAGAAAACGACCCTAAAAGAAGAAATAAAGATATAGTGACAAATACACAACATATTTTTTGTTTAAAATTTAAATCATTCCATTTCAAATGATTTCATTAATTCACTAAAATTGAGTGGGAATTTAACAAGGGTTTTAGCATATGAAAACCCCATCCGCATGAAATACACACAACCAATAACTACTCACAACAATCAGAATATAATTTCTGAAAATATAGATCATGATCGAAATGGCGTTTTCCTCTAGTTAGCATATCAAAATAACACACTCCATCATATCAATAATATAAACGACAGGTTTCCGTAGGATGGTCCCTCAAAAGAATAGACGATACGAGAACATCTATTCTTTACTATGGAAATGATCATTTGCCTAGTGGAATTCTTTTTTTTACTTTTGATACCAAAATTGAATCAAAATTACACAAAACTGCCTTTTTATTCAACACATAACTTGGCAATAATAAGCTCTGTTGCAGTTCCATATTTAAGAATCTTAAAGCAACTTGAGGAACCTTCGCTCTTACATGTAGAACCATTATCCTCTCGTCATTGTTGAATGATATGTTTTTTGTGACAGGGAAAAGGACCGGATCGTTGTAGACCATGATTCTTCGGTCGGCGTTTTGAAGGGGAATCCCTCCATCCAGCTCGAGTGTAAGGTTGACGCTAACCCCAGAGGATGCACCGGACAGAACTTTCCTAAGGCTTGGGTAAGCACACTTTAGTAATCTAGGGTTTATCACTTTACACTTCTGTGATTCCAACTGGTTTTTACACATGAAATATAACGAAATAATTAAAGAAAAACAGATGAAAAAATAAAGCATTGATGGTAATTGATAAATTCTTTAGTGAAATTTCTTGGTATGAGTAAATTTCATGGACATGGGATAGTATTTGATTAACATAAGAAAGACAGCTTCTTATTCCTGCCGAGGATGGAAATGTTTGGCAAGCGCATTTATTCTTATAAATACAAAGAAAATATTCAAATGTGAAGATGATTCAACTTATCAACCCCTTGTTTAAGAGAACGAATGATACAAAAGTATGTCGAAAGGCTGTCAATCCTTTTAGAGATACTATTTTCAAATAATAGTAAAAAGAAAACCAAAAGAATGTTTTGGCAATACAATCATTAAGCAATCCAACTAGGCAGTACTGTTTAGATAAAAATATGTTAATCAAAAGGTTCCTAGTCTTTGAGAAGAATGTCCCTGAAAATGCACACGAAACATATAATTTTCACAATTCATGATTTTTAAGAAATTATCTGTTTTACTTTTCTCAAAAACCTGATGTTTGATGTGCGTCAAACTTCTTTTCAAATGTCACCCAATTCACACCCATTGCACCCAAGAAAACATATGATGTAACACACCTGAGTTTTTATATGTACACATCTGATTAAAGTAAGATATAGGGATAACATTTTAATGACGTATAAGTGATCTAAAAAAGATAATGCATTTATCGTTCGTTCATAGATTTACAAACCTCTTCATAAGACTCATTGTTTCTCACGACAATCTTTAATCTTGTCATTAATACGGCATCAAAGTTTTGACCGGTGACGGATACGATTCTTCCACCTCTGAAAAAGTAAAATTCTATCCAATGTTACTGATACTTAACTGATAATACTAAGATAAGATAAGATAACATTCATCCATCCATGCATCCATTTATCCATTCAAACATCCACCTAATCATCCATCCATCCACCCATCCATTCATCCTTATATCCATCCATCCATGCACGCACGCATGCATCCATCCAACCATGCATACATCAATCCATCCAACCATGCATCCATCCATCCATCCATATATCCATCCATCCATGCACGCACGCATGCATCCATCCAACCATGCATACATCAATCCAACCAACCATGCATCCATCCATCCATCCATATATCCATCCATCCATGAACGCACGCATGCATCCATCCAACCATGCATATATCAATCCATCCAACCATACATCCATCCATCCATATATCCATCCATCCATGCACTCACGCACGCATGCATGCATACATCCATCCATCCATCCATCCATCCATCCATCCATCCATCCATCTTTCCATCCATTCATCCAACCATCCATCCTTCCATCCATCCATCTTTCCATCCATTCATCCAACCATCCATTCATCCATCCATCCATCCATCCATCTTTCCATCCATATATCCATCCATCCATGAACGCACGCATGCATCCATCCAACCATGCATATATCAATCCATCTAACCATGCATCCAGCCATCCATATATCCATCCATCCATGCACTCACGCATGCATCCATCCATCCATCCATCCATCCATCCATCCATCCATCTTTCCATCCATATATCCATCCATCCATGAACGCACGCATGCATCCATCCAACCATGCATATATCAATCCATCCAACCATGCATCCATCCATCCATATATCCATCCATCCATGCACTCACGCATGCATCCAACCATCCATCCATCCATCCATCCATCCATCCATCTTTCCATCCATATATCCATCCATCCATGAACGCACGCATCCATCCATCCATACATCTATCCAGTTCTCCTACTTTCAGTTATTTAGAACTGCAAACTGGTTGATATCACTTTAGTTTTACATTGTTATGTAGCCATTGTTTTCGCGTTTAAAATGATACAAACTACTATTTGTAAAGATTACAGTACCCTATAGTAGTAGACACAGGTGCTATGATGTCGATTATTGGGTCATCCATATAACAGAAGTCCTCCTTGGACGACAAAGCAGTTTCATCTATGTAAATCGTAACTGGGCCGTAACCAAGGCAATGCGATGGTGCCGACTGGTTGGGATTGACACCTGTGTTTGTAGACGTCCATCGGGTCAACTCGCAAACAATGATGTCATTTTCTTTCCTGGAAGGATGGCAAAAATTGCTATTTATCAAACACAACCTCTGCATAGATAATGTAATCATACTTCTTTTTCATTACAGTTAAGTTCTTCATCAAATCCAACACTCACAGTAGAAATTGCATTGCTTTGAGATATGATAAAATACATAGAATTATGAATGGTAAATCAATGTATCAGAACAGTTACTTAATATGTAAAACGTGTTTTGTAAAGATAAAAAAGTCTTTGTTCAACATGTGTGTATATTGTTCACAATGAAAGGAAACTACAGCATTTCTGATCTCTATTATTGCTATTGGTTAGAAGATTTGTGTAATAAGTATGAAGAGGCCATCCATTAACTTAACTGTACTACCTTTTCAATTTACAAATAGATTGCGAGTCGGATACATCAATGGTCAATGATGATCCAATGTCCAAATTTTGTCCAGTGAGCGTTAAGGACGTATATCCAGACTTAGGTCCATGTTTTGGATAAAAATCTTCGAATGAGGGTATCTGTAACATTTAAGGTAACTTATCATATATCTAACCAGCTGTTTTTTTTATGTAGAGTACTATGAGGTCAGAAACAGAACCGTTTGAGACTAATCAAATTTATTTTCAACTACTAGTTAGTGATCAAAAACGGAGATAACTAGGTAGTAACTGAGTATCAATATCTTACCAAGTACTCAAATGTGACATTTTTTGTAATGGACTGAAGAGAATGTGTGTTGTTTGATATTTCAACAATCACAACAGAACTTTCACCTCTAGCGGCCGCCGAAGTCTCACAAACGATACTGAAAAAAGGGAAATGAAATCAAACTTACATATTATAAATAAATTCACGATTTATTCGAGAAGTTAATTCATATTGATGTGAATCAAAACAAGAACCAGGTAAACAATCTAAAGATATCAGCATACATTTTCACGCATGGCATACCGAGTTTCCGTAATCAGTACACATGTAATTAAACTGTTAATGGATTGAAATGTCTATTATACGCATTTATTGGAAAAATTATTATTATTTACATCAAGCTAGCAATGCTTTGTAATATGAATTAAGTCTCATGACCTACCTTTTACTATTGTATGCTGGTTCCTGACACTCATTTCCACCGATCAACACATGCAAATTTCCCCATCCCGAGTTGAAGTAACGCCCATCTATTGTCACATGCGTTTGTCCGTCTGTAGTCCCATTCCGCGGGGAAATCTAATACAAAAAAAATCGCATTGTGTTATTGATATAAAGAAGATGTTTCCATTTCAGCAAATCTTAATTTATACAGTAAAATGCACATAAACTGCTGAATAAGTTAATATGGAGATACCATTGTGATGAGCATGAAGTACCCATAGCACAATCCAAATTAAATATATATATATATATAAATCACAATATAATACTGCGAGGAAATCAAAATACCCATTGAATAATAAATAAGATCAGTCATCATAATTGCTCAAAATGACATGTAATTTACAGTAAATACTGACCCTGTAAACCTCAGGAGGACAGGATATGTTGTGCCATTGGTTGTGCCATTGAGTCTTGTTGCAGTCAGTTTGTGTTGTACAATCGTCTCCACACCATCCGCATCCCAGCGGATCCATAGAGTTTACACAGGAATTGCAATCGGCATGGATACCACATGAATTGAGAGAAATCTTCATAACCTATACAAGTAACAGTAAGTTTGAATAGTTTTGTATTTGAAGAACAGAAAATGATGTTCTTTAACTTAACTTTGTTTTTTAGTGTTAGATTAATTAACGAAGGCATTCTAAAAGCTGATTACCGCCCATTTGATAAAAAAAAAACCGGGTTATCTGTCAATTTTCCCACACGAAGTAAGCATTGCTCTATGATATTGAGTCATGTTTTCTTTACCGTACTGGACAACTGGATGTCCGGTTTGACCAGAAGAATAATTTCCTAGATATATTATGAGGATACATCAACAAAAATGAAGAGCGTGCCAAAATGTGGAACACTAGTAATATAGTGAGTTTGGTTAATTTTTTTTCGCCAATATCTTCATAATCCACAAGGATGGCGTGTGGTATTATTATATCATGAAAATTGACCAGTATTCCAATCTAGTTTTCTTATATCTGTGGCAGATTCCGGCGTAATTTTATCCCTCGTGCATTTTCTTTCGATTGTGCTGTTTTCGTCATTTCACATGCTATGCGCAAAGCATTATGGGATTCGACGTCTAAATATAGCTGTCTAATTTACGTGTTGTCTAGTGAGTCTGATAAGTTCCATAAGGATTTCGTTCATTAGTGATGTAGTTCGACATTTTTCTGAAGAGAGTGTGATATAATATTCAATTATGGATAGAGACAACCTAAAGGATCTCTTTTCAGGGACAATGGAATTCTTTAAACGCACCAACACAAAAGAAAGTGGCAGTTGTAGCACATCGAGTGACTACCCATGGAAATTAATTGACCAATCAGATGTGTTTCATCTCGAATGAATTAGAATATGGCCGGTTAAAATATGATAATAAAAACATCAGATTCACTGACGCCTTCTGTATGTTATACATGTAATAAACATCTGATTCATGTATTGCTGATGTACCTTATTGTCCACAAGGAAGTATAGGTGTTCCTTTCTGTGGTCAATACCTAACGACTTCTCAATCGGTACTGATCGGTCACCACTGAGGTCAAAGGTCGCATAATGTCGGCTTTGTGAAATAGAATCGTTATATCCGCTAACCTCTACCTGAAATGACATTTATAACAACGACGGGAATAAGATGATGTGTAAATTGATATATAAACGACCCAGAAAATTATGTTTGATAAAAACATATATATATTTCAAATAGAATAATGTTTAATTGTTCTTAAAACAGAAACATTTCCCATGTCGATATTACCTACCATAAGGCTTTAAGATATTTTTAATATTTTCAAATGGGATATCATCTTTATTTTTCTCTTTCCATAAATGTTCAATCGATCTGTATTCTGGTTAGACATAATATACTTGTTGTTAAAATACATGTATTAATATGTATTTCGGCCTTTGGAATAATGTTTCATTTCAAGGAAAAAACAATTATGAAAACATTACCTTGTGCAGTTTCCCCTCGCTCGTGCCTAACATGATCACAGGTTTCTGATCATAGGAATCATGAGTAACATGCATTGTTGCAATCTTCTGCTTCTCTAGAAAAATAAATCTTTTTGCTTTGCACGAAAATTCTTTGGAAGATAAACCGCGGTAGTGAATGGATCCACACTCACCCCAACTCGACCTATCTTTGGGGTCCTGTCAACAGAAATACTGCATGCTTTATAACTATGACAACATTGTCACGTTGGAATTTGGCAACCGTATTATTTAATTAAAATACTCTCAGTTTATATTTTTCTTTGTGAAAAAGACAAAGATATATTGAACTAGCTGCTATACGTAGTATTCTACTGTGCTGCACTGTTTCATGCAATATATATTGCGTATTGCATTCATTTAAATTGTTTCAATCGGCCACATTTTAACCTTAAACAGAATATTTTGTCGGCTTCTTATGTTAATTTCTGCAAAATTGAAAATTTCGTCATAAATGATAAAATATTTCTTATATAATCGCTATGTTGAGGATTTCTTATGATTTACATTCAATAATGTAACCTTGATACAGATGTCTGTACTAATAATATAAGCAAATACTTACACTACATAGCTCGTTAGTGTGAGACACCCAATAGGGTGCGTGTACATCGTCGTTTATTCCGTTTCTGCAATTCACCACTGCAAATATGAAACTTTTTGAGTTCAGATCTTTAACTGGGTACGCACATACACTAGAACCTTCCGTAATTGGATTGTAGAACGCAAGAAAAAGAATTTGATTTCCTTCCGGAGTGATATGAAGATGTCCTGATAACACTGGCTGGTTAGTCATTAATTTCTTTTCATAATTACAGATGAGTGAAAGTTCTATGTATGTTTGAAAATACATGCTAGAACAGTTCCTTGTTATTCTCGCAATTCTGGCCTCGAATGTATTCGGTCCTGATTTACGGTTGAATATGAAGAATACGTAGTCTGTTGTTTCAAAGCCATACACCATGTCCGTGTTAAAGTCTCCTTCGTATGACGTGTTCATATTCAAATACATTGCACCTTCTGAATTTCGGTTGTGATGGTTAAAGTAATAATGTCCTGAAAAAGAATTCATTATCAGCGCTGAAAAAATGTGAGAATGGAATTCACCTGGTTTCCTTTCGAAACTACTCGCCACATAATGGATTCTTGGATCAGTCTGGTCCGTAAATATCACCACATTGTTACCTTCATGTGATCCTAAAAGACTATCTCTGAAGAAGCCATACTCAGTGTCGTGAGGGAGATATGTCCAGTCAGACATGTTGGATTTCGAATGTACGGAGCACAGACCTTGAAATGCTGTGCCACAAACCAATATCCGATCAAAGGGATAAGACACTAGAACACTGACTGTATTATTAACTTGTCTTGTGCTACAATCACCGTCTCCGTAGAGAGGACCTTTGCACTTCTGTCCGTAACTCTCAGTTACTGGTCCAAACAACTGGTACGGTGTCTGTCGCTCTTCTAGATCCTCTGACAGTTTGAGCAGGATGTTTTTACCCCCGATGAATAAGTTGTGATCGTTATCAACAGCAATTTTTGTCAAGTGATAATCTCCATCTGCTTGATAAACCCGGGATATAAAGGGCGTAATGGCTGCAGTCGATAAGAAGGTGGCACCAAACATCCATGCGAATAAGACGATCATTTTCATTGGTCACTCCTAAAATGCAGAATGCGAAAGGAAATTGATTGCATAGGCGTTCTAACTAATTAATTTTGTACAGTCAAGACATTGGAAAATATATTTCAACAAGAGATCCCAGTGGGATCTTGGCGCCCAACATTTGAGAATCTGTTTTCAGTTCTTGAAGATTTGTTTATTTTTTTTTTTTTTTTTTTGTTACAGGTTTTGTAAATGTTCATGAACTGGTCTTCATTGAATGTACTCAATGATGGCACAAGATATTTTTATTAAGCACCTATTAAAAAATATCATTTGAAAAAGATCCCAAAGTATTATTATTAGATGATGATGATGAAATGATTCACAAGTACAAGAGCGCAACAAGTATATTAAAAGTTCAAAGTTTTTTAAAACTATTTTTTTTGTTTTTTTGTTTTTGTTTTATTTTAAATTTTAAAGTTTATTTTATTACATTAATGTTTTTGTTACACCAACACTTAAATATTAGGAATTGTTGAATCAATTCTTCTGTTACTTCTCATGTGTCAACCCATATGTCATTAACTCAATTCATTGCATGGTTTAGTATACATACCCTAAACAGTGTATTTATCAATGTTTACTTAATTTAGAAAATCTGATACTTGAGAATGACTGATCATGTAGGCAAGAAATAGCCATAAAACAATTACTCGCTGTTCAAATCCAAGATGGAGAGTTATAGGCCATTTTGTTCTTCAGATCATTTTAAATATGGGACAATGCTTAACTAGGTACCAAGAGGAAGCTAAATATGAAATTTGAGAAGTTTCCTGTCACAACGATAACAAACTACTGCATTACTGTCGAAATCCAAGATGGCTGCCTGTGGGCCACCTTGATTTCTAATCAGTCCAAAAAAGGTACAATGCACAACTAGGGACCAAGGGAAACCAATACCTATGAAATATAAGAAGGATCCGTCCAGTACTTCCTCAGAAATAGCGGTAACAAAATTTTACTCTCAAAATCCAAGATGGCTGTCTGTCAGCCATCTTGATTTCGGATCAGTCCCAAAAAGGTAAAATGCACAATAAGGGACCAAGGGGAACTTTCATATGAAATTTGAGAAAGATCCATCAAGTATTTACCCAGAAATAGCGATAACAAACTTTTACTTTCAAAATCCAACATGGCCGTCTGTGGGCCATCTTGAATTCGAATCAGTCCAAAAAAAGGTAGACTGCACAACTAGGGACCAAGAGAAAGCTCCATATGAAATTTGACAAAGATCCATCCTGTACTTTCTCAGAAATAGCGGTAACAAACTTTTACTTTCAAAATCAATGATGGCCGACAAGCGTCCATCTTGAATTCGGATCAGTCCAAAAAGGTATAATGCACAACTAGGGACCAAAGGGAACCTGCATATGAAATTTGAGAAAGGTCCATCCAGTACTTTCCAAGAAATAGCGGTAACAACCTTTTACATTCAAACTCCAAGATGGCCGCCTCTTATATGGCCTCCTATCGGCCATCTTGAATTTGAATCAGTCCAAAAAGGTACAATGCAAAACTAGGGACCAAGGAGAAACCTGCATATGAAATTTGAAAAAGATCCATTCAGGACTTTTCCAGAAATAGCTGTAACAAGAATTGTTTACGGACGGACGGACGGACCACGGACGCAGGGCGATTTGAATATGATGATGGTGGGCTAAAAATAATGCAATAAAAAATCATAAAAAATGACAAAAATGTAATGTTGTGATATATTCAATAATGCAATAATTCAATTAATGTTGTGATTTCCAGATTAAAAAAAAACAAACAAAAAAACGTCAAGTACATATCGTACATATCTATGAAACATGACATTATTACTATGACTAAATATTTGGTGTGTGGAATTACGGCAAACCTTGCGGAAAGAGTCCACCAAAGGTGTCTACCTCCTCTGCAATCACAAGCTCTCAAATTAAACAAAACATACTGAACAGTATATCCTAATTTCAAACCATAGATTGACATGGAAATATAGAAATAGAGATATTCATGTAACCTAAAGGAAAGGAAATGAAGAATTTTCATTTTATCAAGCATTTGTAAACACGATCGGAATCGGATGCGATATGCATCGGTACACAAAAAGGAAATTTGTCATGGATTCTTGTAATTTTTTAATAATTCTTTCATATCAGTCAATTTTTAGTTATTTCCTTTGACTTTAAAACACATCGTGTTCTACAATTATATATTTATAAGACATAACTTATATTGAAATTTTGTAACACAATCCTATATTAAGACGATATTATCGTAACTTATCGATTTGTACCATGAATCATCTGACATACTCTCCTACTTGTCGGACATGAACTTTTGATATTTCGACATTGTGACGTCACGTTTATTTCGAAATTGTAGAGCAGATCGGTCATTACATATGATATACGAGGGGAGTATAACTTTAACCAATCAAGTCTTAGGCAAAATCAAAATTATTTGGTACCTAGGGCAACGATTACTTGACCCAAGCTTTGGTTTGTTGGCTGACAGGTTTTTCGTCTCCTCGACTCCTCCCGTTGCCGGGGATCGTCTCACCGACGAACGTCAGTGTTCTGATGACGTAACGAGTCAACCATTTCCCCGCGTATTTATAGATAATATTCTTATTATTCAACATCAAGTGTGACTCATTGAAGTATAGAAACTTGAACAATGTGAATTCAAAACAGAGAGGAATTTTGTTTAGTCTTGATTACAGTTGGTTTTAACCTGTAAAAAAGAATGACTCTCTATTGTTTAAACAATAGTTAATATATTTTAACCAAAGCTTGTGACATTTATAAATAGTGTATACTCAGATCTGCTTATGCTAAGATCATACATGAAGAGATTCTTATGATGTTATATGTACACTTACCAGCTTTGTAGTAGGTTAATTTGTTGTCTTTTTAAACAGTAAGTATGTACAGAAACGGAATGCATTGTAAAACAATTATGTCGTTATAATCTTCTGTAAGCGCAGCAGTTACGGCCTGTAGATAAAGGAACTCATTTTGTATCGAGTTGCGGCATGGCACTATACCTGACCCTTTCTCAGCTGGTTATGACTTCCCTTGCGCTGGAGAAGGATACAAAACATCACCGGAAGGATTCTGTCGACACACATACAATTTATGCATATCAAGTATTTGATGCCCGCATGCTTAAGCATATTCAGTTATATACACGCTGTAATGTTCATCCTTAACCCAGCAATAGACAAGTGTATAACGTCACACTACGCCAATGGGAAACGAGATTAAAGAGGTTACAACTTCCGATGAAATAGGACTGTCAGCTTATGAAAACGCATCCACGCGGCATCACCTGGCCAAGTTTTTTTTTTTTTAATTTTAGTGTTGTGTGTCAGATATACACTAGCGAATAACACATTTTGCTATAAAAACAACAAGCAAAATACCTACAAGTGAACAGGATCAAACTCAAATATCCAGAATGAGATTTATTATAGACTTATACAACTGTTTCATTCCTGCAGGAATATTTAGGAGTTTTAATCGGTTGAAATCTAGGAGGAAACATCAGAACGTCAAACTGCCGAAATAAATATTTCTTACTTTTTACACAGCAAAAACATCGTTTGGTGAATTATGAATATTATTTACATTAAATCAGAAATATTTTCCTGCAGAATAAAATAATATTTTTAAAATTCATACCTAACGGATCATTTTGTTCTGAGATTGAAACCGCTCCATAATTGTAGTTAATAGTCTGTGGATCAACCCAAGCAAAACAGAGACTGAATTTAATTAATTAATTAATTAAATTTTAAGAACCTTGCTCTTCAACCAGCATTTAATGTTCTTGCTTTCTTGGGGATTTTTATTTTTCATTAATAAAACGATTATCAAATAGACTGACAGCGATGATTTCTAGTAAAAGACGGAAATATTTCGCCTGATAAGAGGTTTCGGAACAACATTTCCGATATGAGAATGATTGTGAATACCGGGGTTAATATGTCACGTATACTTTAAATGTCTGCTACACTAATAGAACACAGTTCAAAGGTCAAACGTCTTAACAAACAGAAAGTTAGACACTTAAATGCATTTTTTTCTCACACCCAGTCAAAACAATGAAGCGAATTGTTATATGCAAAATGCTAAAAAACAGGAAAACAATGCCTTATTCTTAACTGCTAAAGTGAGGTTTTTCTTGTAAAACCAATTTTCATGATGTAAATTTAGTATGCATATCTTCCACTTATTCATTAATTCTCATTCATTTGTATATAATACATTTGTATAAACGAAAAAGAGAACACAATAACTTCGGTAGGGAGCCACTCAACCTGCCCGACGTACCTTCTCACGACCGGAAATACGCTCTTCTTTATCACTAATGCCTCAAATGAAAGCGTGGGATAGCGAGGAAAGGTGGAAGCAAGAATTTTGGAAAACGAATAGAGGGAGGGACTCAATAAAGTTATGGTAAGTATTACATCATGAAAATTGGTTTTACAAGAAATTTCAGTTCATTTCAGTAGTAATTACCATAATTTTAGTATGAGAATTCGTATAACCGTAGAGCAGACTCTCACATCCCAGCGTCAAATACAATACAGGGCAGTGAGAAGGGCAGAATAATACCCAAGGGGGGACTCGAACAACCAAAAACCGCCCGTGGACAGACCTCATGGGATGGAACGCGTACAAATGACTTTCAGAAGGGGAAATAGCCTGTGCTACAGCCAAGAGACTTAGAGAATAAAGGCCATCAGAGACTGATGCCAATGATCTCAGGTAGAGACGGACTGAGCAGTGATATTCTACTTACCCTGCTTGATAGGTAGAACCAACGGAGAACGGGAACCTCGCCCCCTGGTTTTATCGAGATGAGGCCCGAGACAAGGACAAAGAGAACTTTCGCTATCAGAAAGTCCCGCCACAGAACCCAGTGAAGGAATCCTAATGGGATCAGGGGAAAAGCATGTCACGTGATTCTTGGCCAAGAAAGCAGGATAGGTGACCATAGAAAATGAAGTATACCCCAGATCCAAACGAAAACAAAAAGGAAGACATGACAAGGCATGAACTTCACTCCGTCTGCGCCAGGAAGTCAAGGCAATGAGAAAGACCGTCTTGAATGTGAGATAAGGAATTTAGCATGAACGCTAGATTCCATTGAGGGGCTAACTGCCTAACTCTATGTCTGGTCAAGCAAAAGCTAAAGCAGAACGATAGCCAGCTACAGTTCCGGGGGCAAGATTGCAATCTCTGAATAATAACTAAAGGAAATCCGCAATCATCGGAACAGGAGCCTTAGTGGATCAATCTCCCTCTCACCACACCAATCACAGAATATTCTCCATCTGGATTGGTAGATGGCAGAGGTCACGTCCTAAAAAAAGCCTACCTGAACGAGGCCTCCCGTGATAGCCTCAACGCGTGAAGTTGGAGGAGCTGAGGCTGTGAGTGCAGAACGTTGGAACAAAGCTATCGAAGGAGATATCGACTGAGAGGCAACCGCAAGGGCTGGTCCACCAGCAGAGGCAGTAACTCCGAGAGCCAGGGTTGCCTCGGCCAAAGGGGAGTTATCAGGAGAAGAGAACAGGAATGTTCCTGTAGAGAGAGCGCATATACTGCCCAAACCTGCGATTCGGGGACGGGTGAGACATAGGTTGGTAACTGAATATTCAGAGCTGTGGTAAACAGATCCATGTGAGGTCTGTCCCAAGCCTGACAAACCGGTCGGAACACCGAGGTTTTCAGCCGCCATCCAGTCATCTTCGGCTTACGACACATGGAAAGAGTGTCGGTCAGGATGCTCAATCAGACTGGAAAATGCTTGACCTGAATGGTCAAGTCCATCTTCTGACAAAGCAGAAACATCCTGATAGCCAGGGCACATAACACATGATATCTGGTGCCCCCTGCTTCTCCAGATTAGCGACAACTGCGGATTTGTCTGTCGCCTCCCGAAGGGATCGCAGAGCCAGCAGGACTGCTCTCATCTCCAGCTAATTGATGTGCTCTGAGAACTCTTTCCCGGATCACTCCCCTGATCGGCCAGATAGGCGCCCTACCCTGTCATGGAAGCATTCGTGTACAGGGTCATAGATGGACTCGGCCTGCGTAGGAGGACTCCTGTAAGGACGTTGTTCCGACAAGTCCACCAAGCTGCAGAGTCCTTCATCGACTTGGTTAAGGAGAACATTTCTTGAAGCAGGGACCTAATTGGCGAGCAGGAACATTTACAAGGACTTGATGTGAAGACGTCCAAAAGGAACCACATATGCCAGGGAGTTTATCCAAGAAACCTTAGGAACCAACGCATCTGAACCCGAGATATGTTCATGAAGGCTAGAGCCGTGTCTCAAGACTTCACAAACTTGTCCTCTGGTGGAAGGACAATGTCCAGAACCGTATTGAAACGGTAAACAAGAAACACAAGTCCTGAGAAGGGAATACCTCCGACTTCTCTATGGAGGGAATGAAGCCTGCCTTCAGCAAGAGCTTCGGGACCATGCGGGTGTCCCGCACCAGCGAATCCCTGACCATGTGTAACATGAGAAAATCGTCGAAGTAGATGTGAACATCTACACTCCGCGAATGCAGGAAACTCCCCACCACCTGTAACAGTTTGGTAAAAATCAGAGGGGCAGTGGTGAGGCCGAAAGGCATGGGCCGGAACGGGAAGACCCTGCCTTCGCAAGTAAAACGAAGGTACGTCCTTGCCGACTTCTTGACGGGGATATGGAAGTACGCATCCTTCAGACCGACTGAAATTGCCCACATACCATTCCCCACGGAAGCGATGGTGCCGAGTTTGGTCTCCATCTAGAAGTGAGGAGAATCCACGTGCTTGTTGAAAGCACACAGATCGATGATTGGACGCCATGCACCAAAAACATTCTGGAGTAGAAGCCGGGCGTACATACCACCTCTGGAATCTCCTCGACCGCCCCTCGGGTAGCATGGTCCGTACTTCCCGCTCAAAGCAAGAGCCTTCTCTAGATTCCCGGGAGGGGGGAAGAAAATATGTCTTGCAGACAGGGGAGATCCTGAATCTAACGAGTCCCCTAACCCTCCGACACCACCGACAATGCCCAGCTGTCCTGAGTGATTTCCTCCACGTCTAAACCCTCCCAAACACCGGAAACTGGGCCGGAAGACATCAGCTCAACGTCTGCCCGAACCGCGACAACTAGTAATGACACGGAGGGAAGAAGCGAGTAAGGAACTCGACTTCCTCTTGAACGGAGGTTTCTTGCCGCCCTTCCCCTTCTTCCCTTTGTTTTTGAAAGTAGTCTAGGGTTTCCCCCGCAGCACGCTGCTTAGGATTAGGCCTAGACTTCATCGCAGCAGGCCCAGAACCCTGTTATGAACTAGGACCAATGGAACAAAGGCGTCGTGAAAATAATGCCAGAGGCAACTGAGATCTTCAGACCCATCTGAATAGCTCGTAAAGTCCCGCTAAACAGTGTGGGACCATTGAAGGGACCGTTAAAAGGCGAGAACGGAAGGGCTCGCTAACCTAAAGGTCCCTGAGAACGGAACACCGGCGAGCGAGCATCACGTCGGTAAGCAGCGAGCACTGCAACGCCACCGACCGTAACGCTGAATTCGGGGCAGACGTAAGACTGTCCTGCATATCCTACTTCTCCTCGTCAGAGTCGATCCTCGGGCAGATCGGACAGTCTATATAAGTAAACCATTTACAAAATTCCACGTATGACAAGATATGAAGCCAGAGGCGCAACATCCTCTCGATCTTGTGATGTTCCTTAGGTTGGAACACCACCTGGTGTGCTAACTTCCCGGGCCAAGAAGACAAATCCCTCGAGCCAGATTCCCGTCGTGGATGGCATAATCGGAGGGTTTAATCTCCGATAGATCAGTCACCCCGAGTTGCAGCCTATGATAACCCGGAGCATGTGTAGGAGAAGAATTGGTGCCTGGTCCATAGCCAGAGCAGAAGACACAATGGCGCCCTCAGACAGGGTCCTGTCACTGCGAGGTGTAGGCTAT